AGCCACCAGCAGCAACGCCTCTGCTGCTTTTCCCACCAATGGCTCAATCCGCACCGCTGCCCACCGCTGGAGGTGAACCAATAGTTGCGGCCAAGGTGCAAATGGTAAACAACCTCCCTGACATGTAAGACCATGGGAAAACAAGGACTGCCAAGATGGCAGCTGAGGTCCAACCGTCAAGCTCACCAGGACAATAAACTGTGGAAGTTGCACACACCCCTTACTTTAAAAATGGTCTTACCTGTCCAGAGGTTTGACATCTTTGCATGTCCTCTCGTGCCAGGCCAAAAATCCTTATTGTACCATCTATGCCCGTTCGAATCACAACCATGAGTTACTCTCTCCAACCCCAAGGTTCTAAGATCAACAGGACAATCCAGAATTCCTACAGGAGAAAACAACTGATATCTTGGGACATGATGTACGCGGATAACCTGGCCACTTGAGTCCTGTTCCCATGTGTCCTGCCGGACTTCTTCTGTACATTTCAAAACTGTCTCATTTTCTGGAGACTTGGACGTCACTTCTTTGGCCCATTTCAAACGCTGTCGCTTGTCAGATCTCTGTTGCAACACTCGATTTTCATCAAACAAAGAATACCGACCACTCTTCAAACACTGTCGCAAAACGCTTGCATCCATGCTCTTTGTCAAACAACCTGCAAGCTGAGCATTTGATGTAACCCATCTCACTACGCAATTGGCCTGCAATCTTTCTCTGATGAGCAAACACTCAATGGTGGTCCTATGCTCCTCACACTGTGGAACGGCCGTGCGAGTCAGAAGGTCATAGGCACTCTTACAGTCGGTCACAAGAGCAGCTTGTCGGGCTTCGTGCAACACTTTCTCGGGGGACTGCCATTCAATCGAGGGGTTATTCAACCACTGCCACAAAATCCTCAACCACAACAAACGATCAACATTCCCACTCAATGCCACTGCTTCAGCCCCCAAGGTGCTCCTAGTCACCCGTTGAATTTTCTTGCTCATCCAAGCTACTGGTGCTACCACTGATCTCTTGTTCTCCAGCAACTCTGGAGTCGTGACAAAAATCAAACCTCCCTGATGGGCATATTTCTCTTTTCCTGAAAGGAACGAGGCATCGGAGAAGGCACAGAAAGTCACTTGTTCAGGGGCAATCGGCAATGTCATTAAAGTCACTGGGTGAACCTTTGCCTATGCAACACTCGATTTGCAAAAATCATGTCATCGACTGTTGCCTTTGCCACCCTACTTTGGATCTCTCCAACTTTGGCCGCAATGTCGGGACGGGTATGGACTGCTGCATATTGCAGAGCTCCAACAAGACTTCGCAACTGCGTCACTTCACTCGGGCTCAGCGCAGCTTCAGCATTGGTACGTCTCTGTTTTGGGATTTCAATTGGCCTAATCTTCTCTATATAGTCAATCTGATCATACTCCACACTGCCATCATCCCACTGCTGAAACCTTATGCCCGTGAAGACAAAGGACCCTTTTTCAAATGATCCAAAACTGAAACGCTTTCTGACTCTTTCCAAGGCTGCCATAAACATGTTGTCCCCACCCCCAATGCCATCATCGACATGAACCCCTAGGGAACCATGAACTCTTTCTTTCCCCTTTTCATCAACAGAAACGAGAGTAAAAACACAAGGATCAAAAGGACACTGTTTAAAACCTTCTTGCAACAACGAGTCACGAAACTTACAATACCACAAATAAGGAGCATCAACGCGACCATACGCACTACCTACCAATTGACACTGATCACCAGGTTCCAACCCAAGGGCTTCTGTTAACTCTGGGGTGGGATACAAACCAAGCAAGCGGCCGTCTCCTTCGCCTTGAAGAAAGGCAGTTGAGACATCGAAGGAAACTAGTTCCCAACCATGACTACTCACCTGTTGCACCACCATCTGTCTTCCATCTTTGGTGAGTGTGGGTGAATCATTTTGAACCACCCCAACTCCAGGATCCTCGTACCCAACAACAATCAACCGGGCCTTTGCCTTACGACCCTCACTCACATCCTTGGGGTGATCCTCAAGTGAGGCTGATTTCCAGGTGAGCAGCCATCGGCAGCGCATGATTGCTTCCTCAGGAATTTTTCCTTTGGATGCTTTTCTCACAGTTCCATGTTTGAGCCAGGCGCCTATTTCTTTGTGCTTGGCCACCGCCATGCGCTGTTGGTCAGCACTGCTTAAATCACTCAAACGGACTTCAACTCGTTTCTTCTTTGCTCCAGTCACCACCAACACACTTTCATCTGCTGATCCAGCGCAAAACAGTGCATGCTCTTCATGGTTTTCAACAGGAATTTCAATCTCCCAGAACTGGCAACACCTATCATCTGCAGACATGGTGATGTCATCTCCAAACAGAAGGTCATCCGTTGGTTCAAGATTGACGCCCGCCTGTGAGGCATCACCATCGGACTCACTGACACTTTCTGGAACCGGCACACGCACGTAATCAGGGAGTTCAGTCTCTGACTGTTCCACTCCTTGAGGCGGTTCAGACTGATTGCTCAACTCCCCATTAGGTGTCCCAGGTGGCTGAACTGACAACTCTCCTTCGGGCTCCCCAATTGATGGGTCATATCCCTCTGTTTCAGCTTCCCAGTCAGGAAAATCCTCCCCATCTACATCAATGAAACTGCCATCATTGAGGGCTCTCTGTAAATCTGAGTTCCCTGGGCCAGACTCTGTGAGCAACTCTTTGGCCTGCTTCCACTCCCGAAAACTGGCTGCACGAAGTTGCTCAGGGCTCGTGCGCACTAGCTTTCCAGCATGATTCAACCAAACATTCTTGGACCCTTCGACTGCAACAACACTCGCTGGCCCATACCAGCGACCACGATCTCTACGTAGATTGGCACCCCTCCTACGCCAATACAACACAAGATCTCCTATTTCAAAGGGTCCTCGCATTGGCCGAGTCCGCCTCAAAAGCGCACGACGAAGACTGGATGAATTATCAGCTTCTATGAAAGCTCTGCGTGCACTGCTGCGTCTTTCCAGACTGGCTCGAAAGGCTTCGCTCTCGGGACCAGTCCCTTCAGCCAGAGTTATACTTCCTACCCCCTGACTAGAGACAACGGACCCAGGCAATCTTTTGGCAATTCCAAGGACAGCCTGTTCGGGAGAGTATCCCTTCACTCTGGATAAACTGTTCTTGGCATTGAACACATGAACCAAAGCCTGCTCAAACTCCCCAACCGAGTTTATTGGTGACTCCAAATCTATGCGACTCAGTTGTGAAGAAGATGTTGTGATCCGTGAATTTCCACTCTCCCCAGTTGCCAGTGAGCTTCACTTGCACTGACTTTGACATGGATGTCATGCCTTTGCATTCTGTCCTGCCATGCTTCTGCCGTATATTCCGTGCCAGGGTCAACATACACAACTTGAGGAGTGCCCGCCCATAACATCCAACATTTCTCAAAGACTCGAATTTGAGAATCTGTGTCCGCACTGACAGCATGAGAACCAACATGAAACAAAGTCCCTTCATCAATGATATGAGAAAACTGAAAGTTCTTACCAACACTATCAGTCCAAACAGCAGTGTCCATACCAATCACTTGATTGAATCCCAGATTCTCATGAATTGTGCCAGGACGGGTGGAGTCTGGACCAGCTTTTGTTTCCGCACAACTGTCGCACTGATAATCCAGAGCTCCTTGAACCAAATGAGGTTCCGCATGCCTTTCCTTCAAAAACCAGGCAAACTTCTGTGGATGTGGATGGCCTAAGTTGTGATGCAACCTCCGAATCTGAGCCTTTTCATCACCATTCAACAACATGTATCCTGGTCCATGAACCGGAACATTCTTGGGAGGGTCTTTACTTACCACAACAACATCTTCACCATCATCCCCAGTACCTGCTTCCTTATCAGACCCCATTGTCTCAAGCTCCCCTGACTTTGGAAAACTTCCAAAAATGGTGAGGCTCATCTTTGCAGATTGACCCTTTCGAATTTGCTGCCTTTTTGGCAGAGCAGCCCATTCCTCAGCTGGGCCAAGTACCATTGACTGACCCGTGATGCGGTCTTTGACCACGGTCAATCTCAACGGGATGGTTTCTGGGTCCGCATCAGCTCCAGGAAGGCGCAACCTCTCAGTTCCCCTACAGGCTTCAACCCTCTGAACCTTCAAGTTTGGGGCCCCCTTCTGAATCTGAGCTAAAATCCCATCATCGTCCAAAACACGTTTGCCTACCCGTGGAACCATGGTTTCAATTTTCTTAAAAATGCCATCCCAATATTCACCGGCTGCACATCCGTGGTCACCTGCTGGTGTCTGTTTGCAGTGATACCTTGGACGCTTCACTTCTGCTGAAACCGGCTCTTCTAAGCTCTCTGGAACTGCTGCAGCGGACACTCTTTTTCTTTTGACAACTCCGGCAACAAAAGCTTCATCAACATCACAAACATGCAACTCATCCACAACCAGTGGCTTCTCATCAAACCTACAGGAAACATACCTTGCCACATTCCTACCAAAACCGGAGGTGTACCTTGCAGCATATTCCGAGAGAGAAATCCACCGACCCAAATGATAGATCTTGCCAGCAATTGGAGCATGCTTATGATGCCCAGGACACAATCGGTGGTCAAATGCATCATGGAAAATCTTTGAGGAAGTGTAGACATGCGTCCTTTTTCTAAGGAAATTGTTTCCAGACACTCATCGCATCACATGTGGGGCAAGTAGTTTTCCAACTTCACACATATCAAAAACAGTACACAGGGTCCCACAGTAAATATCATAGACTTCCGGTTGATAAATCAACTCCGACCCTTGGGGTTGCTCCAAATGAAATTGACCACCACAATCCATCTGATATCAATAAACATCATTACAAAGCTTCAAATGAACACGTTGCTTCTTGCGACCCTCTGAAATCATTTGTTCTGTGCTTTTGCTCCTGCCCATGTTTCTGCGACTGAAGTTGCCCCAATATTTGCATTCTGGTGCCATCCAGACTTCTCTCGGTCGCTCTTCCTCCAAAACTCTCAAACTTTCCAAAGCGCAGCTTGACCTTCTGGTGTGGAAAGATCTCCATCACTGAAAGTGAATCTTCTGGCCTTCAATCCCAGCTTACAAGCTTGTTCTGTGATTTGAGAATGTTCTTCACAATAGATCTCCAGAAGATCACTTCCAAACTTCTGGAAAGTCTGAGAGTCGGTCAGCGTCGGCCATATCTTTTGAAGACAGGTCAGCTCTGCTTCAATTGTTCCCATTGCTAGTTCAATCTTTTTGAGCAATTGGTTGGTCAATTGTTGATCTCTCTCGAGTTGCTCTACGCTAGACCTCTCATTCAGACTCCCTCCAAGTCGGCCTTGATCTTGTCCATCTCGCGCTGCAAGATCGCCATGCGAGTGATCATCTCCTCTTTCTGCTGCACCTCGATCGCCATCTGCGACTGCTCTTCTTCCATGGGGCGCTTCTGACTTGGTGATGACATCGTGCTCATCGGACGCGATGTCACCCCTCCTGTCAACAGCTCCCACTCTGGTCCTTGACTCTTCTCGATCTCTGCCTTCGGATACATCTTGGACATCTCGGCTTTGGCCCACTGTCTGGCATACTCCTGGTAGAAGGCCTTCGAGCAATCTTCCTGCATCCTGTCCATGGCTTCCACGTAAGCCTGAAAACTCAGTGCCCAAGCTGACACCAGTTTCCTGCGCTCCTTCATGAACTTGCCGTACTTTGGGTCCTCCTGGTATGCCTGAAAGAAGGACTTGTGCCGCCACTTCCCTTCCGGGAACTTCAACTGACCCCACTCCTTCAAGGTCATCACACCTGGAGGGCGACGACTTTTGATCTCTGGTAGTTGTCGATCTTCGAAGGCCAGAGAGGCATCCACTTCTCCGAACAGCATCGCATCTAGCATCTCTGTCTGGAGTCCCGGAAATGGCGTCCCCGAGGCACTTGGAAGAGTCATGACTGTCAGCTTGAGAAAGAGCGGACTGACTTTGAAGCCGATCTGGTTCTCGGTCAACTTGAGGTTGAGCCACAGCAGCTGTAGCAGTCGTCGAAGATGTACTTGACATTGTGTTTGGCTGCTGCTGCTGCTGCTTGTGTGTGCAGTAAACCTCCCTACTTCGATTTTCAATTCTACTACTTGCCAAGTGATGACTTCCTCAAACTTTTCTGAATTACTTCTCATGCTCGCCGCATCAATCAAGTCTGACAACTTGACAATAAACAGCCCCTTGGCATTTCTGGTGAGTGTCACGGATTTTCCCCAAGAAGACACTTCCAAACAGGATTTACTCACCAGAACATCTGCGCCAAGTGCATGAAGAAAGGCATTTGAAATGAGGAAAGGCGTGGTTCCTTGAATCACTTCAATTTTCATCCATTGTTTCCCAAACGGTACAAACAGCGCACCAACACTCTTCAAAACACCATTGTTACCAAATCTAAAAACGGTTTCAGATTCCTTCCACTTAACCATCTCACGGTGTTCTGCCTTCAAAGTAGTCAAAAGTGCACTCACTCGCTTTTCGCCGATCACGGACTTGCTTGCACCGGTATCTATGATCCCAGTGCCTGAGTCACCTAAGCTGCCATTCCTACTTTCCTCAGTTGACTCAGGGGACCTGCCAGTGACACTGAAGCTTGTCTCAATTGCTCGACGAAACATTTCTTTCAGTTTGGGAAAATATTTCAAACTCTTTTCACAACATGACTTCCCTTTGGGAATGTTGATCGCATGCAAAATCATTTCATGGGAACCTATTAAACTGAATTCTTCATTATCAACATGGTACTCAGGTGGCACCATCGTGGGCAACCAAAATTTTGAACACATCCCCACCTGCCAATTGGCAAGATCATGGCCAGGAAGTTCATCAAGAAGTTCACCACCCCCTGAGAGCTCTTCCGTGAGGATCACGTTCGCATCTGCAGTCACATTCTTGTCCTTCAGCGGGCACTCATCCTTCCAGTGGCCTCGTGCTCCACAGGCGCGACAGGTAGAGCTTGCTATGCGCTCTGCAAGACTCTGATACTTTCTGGGGCCTTTGCCCTTCTTTGACTTGTTCTTGCCTTTCCCTTTTCCATGACGAAGGGGCCAAAACCCTCGGCTGCGAAATTTGTCTCGAAGCTTCTGTCGTGCCTCCTGGTACGTGGAGAACGCCATGGCCAGTTCAGGTGAATCCTGACAAACATGGATCACCTGATCCTCGAACTCTTGTATGGCAAGTGCTGTCTCATCACCTTCCTCGATGAGCATGGCTAAGGCTTGCTCTTCATCACATTCTTCTTCAGCTGCATAGTGAATTTCATCCAACTCCTCTTCCACAAAGTTGGCTGGATACACCTTCTTGCGTCCAGCATCTGTCTGCCCAAGCACTTTGGTCGACAGGGACCTCATTGCCTTTTCCACTGCCGACGGATCATAGTTGCCTGCCATAGAGACCACACGCTTCTTGTCCTCAACAGTCAAGGCACTCTGTCTCAACATCACGAAGGCTCGAACTTGTTGGACGGTTGTTTCAGAGCCCACTTCTTCGAAAGCAACATTGATTCGGTTGACAAACGACATTGCTGACTCGTCTGTCTTTTGGACTACTCGGTAAAACGAGAATTCTCAAATTTGTCAAAGGTCTGAAGTTCCTCGGCATCCTCCCAGGTCTCCAAAGCTTTCAACAGTACCTTGTAACCAGTCAACTTCGACGCATCAATGGCTCTCACCTGACTCCATGCAGTCCCTTTGCACTGCAAAGCCAACCTTGGTGCCAACATACTTCTGTCCTTCACAGGGCATATGCCCCATAGAAACTTCACCTTGTCCGCATACTCTTTGGCGCTATCGACACTAGGGTCGAAACTCGGCAACAAGCTCCACAAGTTGCTCGTCTTCTCTTCCACACTCACACTTCCACCAGGCTGTCCCTCAGCCCCGTCTGGCATCTTCCCAAGACGCTTCCACCTTTATTTTCACTACCCAGTCGCCTCACCAGGTACTTGCCCTTCTCAACCAAGTTTTCCTTCTGGAAGTCCTCCTCCAGCGCCAGCCCGCAGGCTCCGCTGCCAATGCGAAGCAGCCTCGCTTCAACAGCAGCCACCAGCAGCAACGCCTCTGCTGCTTTTCCCACCAATGGCTCAATCCGCACCGCTGCCCACCGCTGGAGGTGAACCAATAGTTGCGGCCAAGGTGCAAATGGTAAACAACCTCCCTGACATGTAAGACCATGGGAAAACAAGGACTGCCAAGATGGCAGCTGAGGTCCAACCGTCAAGCTCACCAGGACAATAAACTGTGGAAGTTTCACAATGTATATATATATATGTGTATATATATATGTGTATATATATATATGTATATATATATATATATATGTATATATATATATATATATATATTCGGATATACAACTAACAATCTAGTTGGTCAATATGGTCAATGTCACATGTTTTGACTTTCATTTGGGACATCAAGATCAGCAATATCCATGTTTCAGATATCCACTCTGGTAATTGAACGTAGCTATTGAACATGGTCATAGAGTTGATTTACCCAGCTATAAATGGTGATTTTCCATAGTTTTTTTGTATGTTTACCAGAGGGTTAAACCTCCAATGTCCTATGCTTTTCCCATGGTTTTCCTATGGTTTCCCCATGAAAACCAGTTCGCAAACTGTCAGTTTACCAGAGGCTAGACAGCCTGCTACTCTGACATCTTCGATCATCAATTCTTGACCTTATGGGTCGTCCCAATGCGACCTAACATTTGATCATCAATCTATGTCAATGGTACATTTCCTCACTTAAACTATCCCATTATATATATATATATAGATAATATATATATATATGATAGTTTATGATTCATTTATGATTTGTAAAGAAAATTATATATGATCTCCACATGTTCAGACACGTCCATTTTGTCACACCAGTCGCACCAAAGCGGATCCCAAGCGGATCACATGACATCGCAGGACCTTCGGCAGCCTTCCATGCGACTTGGCATGGACAAGTTGGAAACAAAGGACCTCAGCGCTGCGGAGCCGAGCTGGGAAATGTAGATTTATCTAAGATATAATAGGTATAATTTATATAATAGATTAATAGATATGAAGATATAATTGATATTTATCTAAGATATAATAGATATGAAGATAATTTGATACAATTGACATATGATCATATAATCTGGATTTCTGCGATAAGTGATATGGACAAAATCTCAGGATTTGTGGGAAGCAGTGATTCATATACAGTATAGGTGATTTGTGGGTGATGTTTCAGGATTTGTTTCAAATATGAATGTTGGAAAACCAATACCATGAACCACCCATATGGATTGATGGTTTATAATGGTTTATACCATCAATTTATTGATATTTATGGTAAATTTGGGGATGGTGGATCCTATCGCTTTACGAACATTCCTGTGGAATGTTTACGATCAGTCACCATGCCAGACACCCATGATCTCGGTCCCTTAGATCATCCCAACCGTAGGTGCTTCAAACTTTTCCCACATGATGTTTGCTGAGATATTTGGAAAATGGGATGATTTATTTGGGGAAAAATCTATGTCTATATATATATATATGTGATATGATAATGATACATTGATCCAAAATGATGGTTTTCCCAATTGATTTCATGTTACAGTAACGTACGGTAAACCCAGCTTCATCTTATTTCTTCGGCGGGATTGATCCGATGCTGTTCTGGCTGTCCCGCGTTCCCGTAAGTTTTATCAATGCATTAGAACCATATATATTATTATTAGTATTATTATTAGTATTATTATTATCATTATTATTATTACTATTACTATATATTATTAGTATTATTAGTATTATTAGTATTATTAGTATTATTATTACTATTATTATTATTTTTTTATTATTTTTATTATTATTACTATTATATATACGTTACTGGTTGGTGGTATACCTACCCCTCTGAAAAATGATGGAGTTCGTCAGTTGGGAGTATTATTCCCAACTGAATGGAAAGTCATTCAAAATTCCATGGTTCCAGTCACCACCAACCAGTGATTCATAATCACAGGCACTGTCACTACTCAGTTCTTTGGCCTCTCCCTGCATCGTCCCCGTCAAGATACATCGAAGCACTGGAACTGGAAAACGACGCCTAGCCGACCAGGGAGTGATCCCGCCGGGCTGGGGATGGCTGAATCCTCCGTCTTTTGTAGATCAGATAGCTAGCCTCCGATGTTTTCAACGCTTAGTCCCCAAAAAAGCCACCGAACTTTTTGGCACGGTGTCAGGGGGCTCAAAATCCTCAAAACTGGGATAAGCTGGGTATCAAAGTCTGCGGTCCACTGGATAAAACATGTTGTTCAATGCTCATTTTGTCAGAATCAGGGGAACTTCCAATCAACATTGATTTTCCAATCAAACATCAATTCAAAATCTGTATGCAATAAATCTTCCAACAGAAAAGCACATTTTGTATGAGTTCGTCAGTTGGGATTGTTATTCCCAATATATGGAAAGTCATAAGATTCATGTTCCAAACCACCAACCAGCTATATATATATAGCTTTTCAATCATATCCATGTTTTTTTTGGTTCTCCCATATGCGAACCATGGTGCTGGAATATGCACACCAACATTTGCCCTTGCCCAAAATCACCCAGTCATGTTGGTAAATATACCATACATGTCAATGGTAATATCAGGATCCTAAAATGGAGGTACGTAAACGTACCAGTAGTACCCGCACGAGGCGGGGCGGAAGTTGCCTTAAAGATATATATAAGACCTTTCTCATCTATAGAACTTGCATGCGCCGTGCGCCAGCGAAGCCCGTGCGTGCGTGCACTCTGCGAAACTGGTGTCTTGTTTCACATGTCACATTTGAAGCTCCACGTCACACTTCACACTTGACAGTCTTCACACTCCACACTACACACTGCACTCTTCACACTGCACTCTGCGCACTGCACACTCCACACTTCACACTTCACACTCCACACTTCACACTCCACACTTCACACTGCACGCTTCCCACTGCACACTCCACACTTCACACTTCACAGTCCACACTTCACACTTCACAGTCCACACTTCACACTTCACAGTCCACACTTCACAGTTCACACTCCACACTTCACAGTCCACACTTCACACTTCACACTCCACACTTCACACTGCACTCTTCACGCCCCACACTTCACACTGCACCCTTCACACTCCACACTTCATCTCATCTGAGCTCTTCTCACCTTATCCCAGCTCATCTCTTCTGATCTCATCTCTTCTCATATGTCATCTACGCTTTCATGAATCACTTCCCAGTACTACTACTAAGGAACTGGATCTCGACGCCAAAGCGACAAAAAGACGATCTTGAAGCACTTTTTAAAAGGAATTTCAAAGGAAAATTATTAGCGCCAAAATTGAGAAAATCTGCTGACAAATCACTTTCGCAGCCTTGATGCAGCCATTCCAATACGATTTACGATCTTCAGCTGCAAAAGACAATAGTATTACGCATGCAGCCGCTGCACCAAGCAACCTTGACGCAGCCACTACAATGCGATCTGCAGAGACTGAGTTGCAAAACACAATAGAACTACGTGCAATGGCGTCGGAAATTGCAGCTCCAAAACCGGATCTCGACGCCAAAGCGACAAAAAGACGATTTTGAAGCACTTTTCGAAAGGAATTTTAAAAGGAAAATTATTAGCGCCAAAATTGAGAAAATCTCCTGACAAATGACTATCGCAGCCTGGATGCAGCCACTCCAATACAGATTCCAAAACACCCTATAACTACGCACACACAAGCACACCCAAAGCAGCTTGAAGCCACCGTGACACTGCGGCAAAAAAAAAACGATAAACCGACCGCAGCCGCAACCGTCGCACACACGAGGTACCTTTCATCGTCGCCTGCAGCCACTTTACACGGAAAAACACAAGGTTTCGTGCTCCGGCTTCCTCCCCAAAACATAGCCCATGCAACATCATGCAGCCATTCCAATGGGATCTGCAACCACAGATTCCAAAACACCCTATAACTACGCACACACAACCACACCCAAAGCAGCTTGAAGCCACCGTGACACTGCGGCAAAAAAAAAAACGATAAACCGACCGCAGCCGCAACCGTCGCACACACGAGGTACCTTTCATCGTCGCCTGCAGCCACTTTACACGGAAAAACACAAGGTTTCGTGCTCCGGCTTCCTCCCCAAAACATAGCCCATGCAACATCATGCAGCCATTCCAATGGGATCTGCAACCACAGATTCCAAAACACCCTATAACTACGCACACACAACCACACCCAAAGCAGCTTGAAGCCACCGTGACACTGCGGCAAAAAAAAAACGATAAACCGACCGCAGCCGCAACCGTCGCACACACGAGGTACCTTTCATCGTCGCCTGCAGCCACTTTACACGGAAAAACACAAGGTTTCGTGCTCCGGCTTCCTCCCCAAAACAGAGCCCATGCAAGATCATGCAGCCATTCCAATGCGATCTGCAAGCACAGATTCCAAAACGCCCTATAACTACGCACACACAAGCACACCCAAAGCAGCTTGAAGCCACCGTGACACTGCGGCAAAAAAAAAACGATAAACCGACCGCAGCCGCAACCGTCGCACACACGAGGTACCTTTCATCGTCGCCTGCAGCCACTTTACACGGAAAAACACAAGGTTTCGTGCTCCGGCTTCCTCCCCAAAACAGAGCCCATGCAAGATCATGCAGCCATTCCAATGCGATCTGCAAGCACAGATTCCAAAACGCCCTATAACTACGCACACACAAGCACACCCAAAGCAGCTTGAAGCCACCGTGACACTGCGGCAAAAAAAAAACGATAAACCGACCGCAGCCGCAACCGTCGCACACACGAGGTACCTTTCATCGCCGGCTGCAGCCACTTTACACGGAAAAACACAAGGTTTCGTGCTCCGGCTTCCTCCCCAAAACATAGCCCATGCAACATCATGCAGCCATTCCAATGCGATCTGCAAGCACAGATTCCAAAACACCCTATAACTACGCACACACAAGCACACCCAAAGCAGCTTGAAGCCACCGTTACACTGCGGCAAAAAAAAAAAGATAAACCGACCGCAGCCGCACCCGTCGCACAGACGAGGTACCTTTCATCGCCGGCTGCAGCCACTTTACACGGAAAAACACAAGGTTTCGTGCTCCGGCTTCCTCCCCAAAACATAGCCCATGCAACATCATGCAGCCATTCCAATGGGATCTGCAACCACAGATTCCAAAACACCCTATAACTACGCACACACAACCACACCCAAAGCAGCTTGAAGCCACCGTTACACTGCGGCAAAAAAAAAACGATAAACCGACCGCAGCCGCACCCGTCGCACACACGAGGTACCTTTCATCGCCGGCTGCAGCCACTTTACACGGAAAAACACAAGGTTTCGTGCTCCGGCTTCCTCCCCAACTCACCACTTCCCTTCCTCACCACTTCCCATCGTCACCACTTCCCATCGTCACCACCTCCCTTCGTCACCACTTCCCTTCGTCACCACTTCCCTTCGTCACCACTTCCCATCGTCACCACTTCCCTTCGTCACCACTTCCCTTCGTCACCACTCCCCTTCATCATCACTTCCCTTCTTCACCGCTTCCCTTCGTCACCACTTCCCTTCTTCACCACTTCCCTTCCTCACCACTTCCCTTCGTCACCACTCCCCTTCATCATCACTTCCTCAAGGTCAATTTCATAGCTTCTTATTCTTTTGTTATGTATTGGTACATTATGTATTGTTATATTATGTATTGTTATATGATCTACCACCCTTCCTCAAGGTCAATTTCATTGCTTCTTATTGGTTTGTGATGTATTGGTACATTATGTATTGTTACAGGATCTACCACCCTTCATCATAGTCAATTGCACCAAGTAAAAAGTCATTCGTAACTCGGAAATTGCTTCCCAACTTCCTTTGACCATTTTTCAGGCCATATAAATTGTGGGGATATTCCCTGAAAAAATTAGGCCTGAAACATAGGCCAAAGATATATGGTAAATACCCATAGGATCCATGTATGGTATATATATGCTAACATTTGGGGTATATTGATGGTAAATGTTACCATATATGGCATACATGGATCCTATGGGATATATACCAGCACCATGGATCATATAGGTTATGGATGTTCCAATCCACGGCAAAAAATCCTGCGCCTCCAATGCGAAACTCCGCTGCCGTAAGCCTGTCAGCTCCTCCAGCGGAGCGGCAGGGCGGGGTGGTTGGGATGATCTGTCAGTATCCCATCAGTGTCCCATATGCTACAGGAAAATGAAGGTTTTAATAGGAAAACCATAGGAAAACCATAGGAAAATGGAGGTTTTAATAGGAAAACCATAGGAAAACCATAGGAAAATGGAGGTTTACCCTCTGGTAATTCAAGATAGCTATGGAATTCATCATTATGTTGAATGGGAAAATCAACTATTTCGACTCAGCCATTTTCGAGTTCGCAAACGGTAAACGTTTACCGGAGGGTACCCCAAACATCATCCAGCACCATGGGTTGCATCATGGAAATCACTTGGATGTCGGGAAATGTTGGACTCATCCCAAGCTACATATCCCACTTGGAATCAAGTATATAAGCTACGGGTATACATATAGATAATATATATATATATAATTATACTAGCTAAATTATAGACTTAAATAAAAATCTTGCTATATTTATCTTATATGAATTATACTTGCTATATATAAATATATATATATATACATATACATATAGAACCAGCTATGGATATACCCCGAATGCCCATCATGCCAGGGGAAATCAGAACCGGATACAAGGGAACTAAGGACGAATCATGCCTACCCTCTGGTAATTTAACATAGCTACAGGATGGTGCCCCCCAGTTATAAGTTGGTTTATAAACCCCATTAACTATAGCTATATCTGCCATAGACCATAGTTATGGGAGTTATTTGCACCAACTTAGCTAACTATGGGGCACCACCTTGTATGGAACATCACCATTTTTAATGGGAAAATCAAGTATTTCGACTGGGCCATGTTCAGCAGCAAACTGTAAATGTTTATTTTTTTCTCCAACAACGCAGCCACCTCCAAGCTAAGAAACTGGGCGAAGACGGCGTAGGCGAATGCCATTTAATTTGAATGCAAGCATCACTCAATCAAAAGAACTCATGTAAAGGTGGCACAAAATTGAGCGGATTATTTTTTGCAGCAAATCTGGAGGCACACCCCATCAAGAAAGCGAAGATATGGTCCGGAAAATGGAATGAACGAGAAATGTGCAGGGAAGCTACGTGGCAAAATCCAAAACTCAACAAATGTGTAGATCTCAGGGCATTAATGGACAGCTGGTGGGATTGGAACAGTCGCATGGCAGCTCGCTTGAACCTTTGGACAAGCACTTTCAAAGTCATGGATTGATTTATGAAACCCGGAAAGTATCCAAACTGGAAAACAAAATCTGCCATGATTTCAACCCACGACGTTCTATGGATGGATCTATGCGATCCAACGACCCATGCCGATTGGGAGAAAAATTCACAAATAGCGCCAGCTGCGCTGGGGCTAAGCCGCATGGGTCCGGCAGCCAAAAATGCAGGATCTGGACTTGTGACTAATGGCTGCCACATTTCTTGGGGATAAGCGATGGCGATATACCTGTTATGGTGAGAAGATACTCTAGTTCTGATAAAAGGACTAATTGGTTCGCCTCGTTTAACACAAGAGATGAACATGTTTTCGGCATCACCGGCACGGATTACCAGTGGGCGACACGTCCCAGAACAAACAGAGCCCTTAGAAAAAATCCGAGTTTTGGGGGCGCAGGAGCATACAAATGATGAAGTCAACACCTTGTAATGGGGAAAAAAATCTTGCCCCGCTGGTATCTCCGCTGGTAACATTTTGAAGAGCGAACTACGTGTGGCCAACGTATGGACCAAATGGGCCTGCAATGACATGGCCAATGCAAGTTCTTCGCAGGCCGTTTGTTGGCGGGCTTCGAGGAAAGCCCAGGCAGTATCTTTTGCTAACTTGTCAGCACAAGAATTACCTTCGGTGAGAAAAGGATCTTGACAAAGGTCGTGTTTACCACAGTGGGCTTTTACTTTATACATCGCGAAAGGCTGGCTTCGCTTGTTGGCCACAAAATTGAACAAAACCCACAGATCCCGATTGTCAAGATTGGTGATACATTTATTTGAGAAGCCACAGCGTCGTAAGAAATTGACAATGTTGACCACATTTGCACAATCGGAATAAATTGTGATATTTCCGGCGCAGTGCCACAAAGCTGCGATGACTGCAAATATCTCAGCCCGTTGGCTTGTTTGATCAAGGCCTGGTAGGAGATAAGCTTTTGAGCATCCACACTTCGAAACAACGGCTGCTGCAGCAGATCTCATAGGTGCCCAAGAGTGATGAAAACAAGAGCCATCAACAAAAATTGGACTTTCAGGCTCAAAAGCTTGAAAATCCTCCATGGGAAGAACGGGCCTAGAGACAACTTCCTGCCGCCACTGGGTGATTAGTTCACCTTCTGGGAAAATGCCTGTACACCACGTTGTGTCATGGAAGAAACTTGAAGGTCGATTCCTTTCGTAGAGACCACACGATTTGAATAAATGAAGGTGGTCTTCTCTTTGGTCGCATCCTTCACACTTATCATCCGTAGTAATCCCTGCGGCTTTGCATCGTGCTCTAGTAAGAACACTGCCAGTCCTCAGGGCCCGCAGTAGGGACTTCGTGTAGGCATGATTCTTTGGCAAGAATTGAATTGCATCCTGCGCAAGTTGTCTGTCAGAAAAAGACGCCAAAGAAGCGTCTTCGAGAATGCGTGTTTTGGCTATATCGATGTGGAGATCAAGTTCGCCTTGCCAGTCGTGCCTAGCTGGGACACGGGCCAACAACATTACACGAACTGATCTTGCAAGTTCCTCGTGAAAATTCTTTTTTGATCCGTAGAGTAAATCAATCGGGGTGTCACCTGGCCGGGAAAACGTCATGCTTTCGTCTTCACGGAACGACCACTTGAGCCGGCTGAAGACGACAGCCAGAACATTGGCCGCTCCATTGGAATTTGCTGAGCAAGTCTGACGTTTCTCTTTGGCGCTGCTCACGAGCCGAGCAGCAGCTGCGGGATCCTTAAAGGCCAGGTCCCTTAGTCTAGATAAAATTCGTTTGAAAGCGGCAGCTTCAGGATCAACAAAAGGGTCATGACCAGTGGCCAAAATAAGATAAGGGGACCTATTGGTTTTTAAGCCTTTTGACAACGCCTTAACCACTGCCTTTCTCAATTTGTCAAGCTTCGTATTGTTTGGTAATTGGCATTCAACACCGTGCAACCACTTAGAATGGGCAACAGAATGGATGAACCCCGTCATGTCATGTTCATTACATGGTAAACAAGACAGTTTCTTCAGGGAACGAAAAGCTGATTCTACCCGAGAATTTTGGAATGCTGCGGATTTTAATCGGTCAACACGGTGGGTAAACCCAAGTGATTTCGCAACTGTCTTCCTTGATACTTTGACCCGGACACGCCGCAAGAATTCTTCTGCTTTCTTTGTTTTTCTGGCTAGCAAGAATGTTTTATCGAAGTTTACTTTTTGTCCTACTGCGGTGTCATAAGCAACAAGTTCATTGAATGCCTTTTCAAGATCGGAGGAAAACAAACCCTTAGCCCAAATTTTCACATCATCAATAAAGCATGCTGATGAAACTTTGGGGTACAATCGCTGAAGATGCGCTGAAAGGATTGCATACATTGAATTGACCATAATGATGCTCATAGAACAGCCTTGCACAGCAGCATTTGTTCCCATTACTTTTCTACCATAGGCATTCCCAAGTTTGAAGATTTTTACCTGGTGGTGATAAAACTGTAAATGTTTACCGGAGGCTAATTTTGGGGATGGAAACAGAACCGGTGGTGGAGCGGCCTAGTGATGGCAACTGTGGCCAAAAACAAATCGATCCTCTGCTTGGAGGCTTCATTTGGGAGAGAAAGTCTACAGTCAGGAGCATCTTCACAAAAGAATAGGCACCAAATGAGTCAAACAACAGATCCTCCCTTTCCAACAAAACATCAGTAATGATAGTAATGAGGATTAATGAGGTAACTACATATTTCCGCAACTTCCCACAGATTTCGGGCATTGCCAAGGCATTGCTCGGTGGAATTTCCGTCCTGCTGCAGTATCTTGGTGCTTCGTTGCAGCTCGTCGCACTGACCCTGCAGGTTGGGCCGCTCCTGGAGAGCACGAAGAACCCACGGTGACAACGGGTCATCAAACGAGGCTTTTTTGAAAATCCACCATTTCTATATGATTTGTCCATTCAAACCTCCATTTATAGGGGATTTCCCAACAAACAGATGTTTGATGATTTTCGCACTTACTCATTTACAGATAGTGATTACTAGAGGGTACCCACTTCCTAATTGGGATGAGCCCCATCTCAAATTAGAACCGAAACCCATCTCCAATGATCTCCATGTGGCAATATACCACAAAAAAATCAGGGTGCAAATAATACATTACTTTAGACTGGTTGGTGGTTTCAACCCAACCCCTCTGAAAAATGATGGAGTGAAAGTCAGTTGGGATGATGAAATTCCCAATTAATATGGAAAGTCATTCAAAATTCCATGGTTCCAAACCACAAACCAAACTCCATATGGATTATTGGACAGAACCCTGCTGGCCTACTTTCTACATCGAGTTTTCCTTCGCTCTTCGCCCAAAGTTTGACCCTACCTCACCTGGTGTGACTGGGCAAAATCCATCACCAAAATCAACCTGTCGTATCGTATAACTTGGTTGATGTAGATCCCCCAGCTGATGCTGCACAACTCTCATCCACCTCTTCAAATTTTGGTGCAATTTCTGATACAAAAGTGACTCATGTTCATTGATTTTTGGATGGCTATAGAAATCCCATCTATAAATGGAGTGATGGAATATGTCATCATCCCATCATGTCAGTTGGGATCATCATCTTGCCATCAAAATGGTCTTTTCACTTGGAGGTATACTATGTAACCATGTGTTCAGACATACCGGAATCATATTAAGTTGTAATAATATATTATATATAGTTATATTGTTATATCATGTTATATATAATGGTTGGTGGTTTCAACCCTGAAAAATATGAAAGTCAGTTGGGATGATTATTCCCAATATATATGGAAAAATAAAATTCATGTTCCAAACCAACAACCAGTATATATATAGTTATAGTTATATAGTATCCACACCATATCCCTACTATATCCCCCTTGTGGTCCATTGCATCCGCCACGGTTCCAAACCTGGTCGAACCAGGGTCCTTTAAGTCCTTCTGCATGGTCTGCACCTGTCGTTGCAAAGCCTCCACTGCTGCTGCCCTGCTACCTGGCTACTGGGGCCATGGGCAGTGAGTACTTGAGGAATCTTGAGGATGCAGGAGGATACAGTAGGGGAAAGCACTTAGGCTTATTGGTGGCTATCGGATTCTAACCATTTGAACCTCCAAAAGGTTGGGATATGAACCCCCACTACGGTTTTTATAAGCCTCGTATCAGGAGAACTGCATCCCCAAGTATATGCTCAAATAAGTCGTTCAATGGGCAAATCATCTAATGTCAAGCCCGGATTAAAATGTCACTCTGGTTGATTATTTATGGGTTCCACCCAGATAGTGACTTCATGTGCTACTCAAATGATACCACACCCAGGGATTTATTCATCCAGGGTTAACATTGCAGATCTTCTTCATCATCTTCCCAAGTATATGTTCAACGTGCCATAAAAATGGAGCAAGTGCCAAATGTTTGGACCCCACATATCACATTGTTCACACCACCATTTTGGATTCATTGCAACCCACTCTAAATTGTGCAGTTCCCCTTACTTTGCGTGGGTGTGCTTGGGTACATGGCAATGATTATGAGGCCTGTATTCAAACTTCTAAATGAAGTTATACTTGGCTACTTGTAAATGGAACTTATGCCCAAGAACCCATTTGAATGTGTTCTGAGAAAATATGTACCCCTAAATCCAAAATCCGTTTGTTGCAAAAATCCATGGCTCCCATCCTTTTCCCATTCAAAAACTGCCATTCTGATGTCTTCTCAGTCCCAATCCCAGCGTTCCAAGCTGCGTAGCTCTGTTTCGGAGCTGTCATTGGCCGCTTCAAGGTCCTTCAGCTGCAACTCCTCCTGGATTTTCATCGAACCATGGAGACTTTCGAATGGAAAAGGTGGAATACTGGAGAGATGTCAGCACTGAACCCCAAGTTGAACGTGCTATGGAAAAAAAAACGGCGAATTTTCCAGACTGTGGATTTCTATAGGTGGAACTCTGGCGAAAATCTGTGAATTTTATGGCGAACTTATTGGGACTGGGACTTGTGGGTATCTATGTGGATTGATCAGTGGTAAACCATCCAATTTGTGTCAAAGGTTTGATGCAAATCCTACAAGACATATCTCCTACCATCTGGCAATCGAACATAGCCACGGAAAATCACAATGTTTAGATCATATACGAGGCGGCAGATGGTGTTTGATATAGGTACCCTCTGGTTATGACTAACAGTTTGCCATGGAAAATCACCCATTTTTAAGAACGGTAAACCATCTATTTCTATGGGCCAGGGCTTCCATGGCTATGTTAGTCATAACCAGAGGGTAGATCCCATTAAATCCCATTAAATCCCATTAAACCACCATTTCCCTATGGTTTTCCTATGGTTTTCCTATGGTCGTCCTATGGTTTTCCTATGGTTTTCTGGATCATGGTAGATCAAACTCAATGGACCTTACAACACCCCCAGCTGTGATTCACCGGAGCCCCTGGGAGGTTCTCCAGGCCCTCCAGGCCTGTCGCATGCGTTGACAGGTCTGCTGCCAACGCAGCTGGCTCTGGGAAATGAGCTGCGGCAAGTCGTCGCAGCTCTGACCACTCACCTGACGAGGACAAGGAGGAGATGTTTTTTGGGGGATTTTGATATGGAAATCATATGGAAATCATTTGAAACACGAGGATATCATGGGTATATATATATATATATGGAAAGAATGAATATGGAAATCATATGGAAAATCCTCTCTATATATATATATCTACTGGTTCATCATCATTTGGAGGTTTCCTAGGTCATTAGGTCATAGGGGGTACTCCCAGTTATCATCCAAGTCATGGTTAAAACTTTATGACCATCTGAGTATTGAAACCCATGGTGACTTCGGGATCCCCCACTTTAGGACATCCCCTAGAAATGTGCTATGGAAACACCCATATTACAGTCCCTATGAAAATGGAGTGATCATGATTCCCATCCCCATCCCCAAGGTATGGCTACACAATCCGAGTGACTTGACCATGGCACAAAAAAACGCTAATTCCAGCTGCAAGCATCTTTGGCGGCATGTTTACCCTCTGGTAAACTAACATAGCTATGGAAAATCACCATCTTTAATAGGTAAACCAACTATAGATGGGTCATTTTCAATAGCTATGTTAAATTACCAGAGGGTATCTAGTGTTTCCAAGATGTTCACCCAACTTGGATCTGTGCCAAGTTGGGCACCCAACTGAACAGATAGAGACGGGGTGTCATGAAACGTGGCTTCCCCTGGAAAACCCCAAACTACATGGAGGTTCTTGCCGCTCGGAGAATCATCGAACTAAAAGGTGGGATTTGGATCATTGGCACAACAAAATCACCATCCAAACCCTTCCTCTAGCAGCCTAGCATCAGTACAGGATGGTGCCCCCCAGTTATAAGTTGGTTTATAAACCCCAGTAACTATAGTTATAAGTACCATAAACCATAGTTATTGGAGTTATAAACCAACTTAGCTAACTATGGGGCACCACTTTGTAGAAACATAATGAAATCTGCAAAGATACCCCAGCACCCTCTAAGGGCTGTCCAATAGGCACCCCTTGTAAAATCATGTTGAACCCAAAAACCATTTGGCATCAAAGAGGGGCCTGGTATCATATTTCAATCCATTCCAAAGATTTCCAAAACCTGCAAGGTCAAAATCTGTCTGCGATATCATAGAAGTTTTGGTATCATACATCTATGATTGAATAGACCTATTTCTCCAAAGGATCTCTTCAGAAGTTTTCCCAAAAAAAAACCTCCGCCTGCGTGAGAAAGCTGCGGAACCATTCCTCCTGCTGCTGCTTTTCGCGTAAATCAGCCTTCAAGGACGCCTCGTTACGGGACACGGTGGACAATCAAATGGGCAGTGAAGAAGACAGTTCTTGGGAACATTTGAACCGAAAAACGTAAAACAGTGATGTTAAATTGAGTTAGAACATGCTGTAAATAGAATATACACTATCACTATACATTCAAAAGATGCACCAAAATACATGTCATTCCAATATATATATATACTCTCATATAACCATAGAGATCCCACAAATCCCAGTTGCAACGTTCCATGATTTTCCGAAACCGCGCCTCGATGCGTTTCAGCTCCAGGAATTGCTCATTCACCGGACGGCCCTTGTCGTGCTGGAGCAGATCAAAGCAACCATCGCAGACGCGTTCCTCCTGTGAGGTTAAGATACCCTCTGGTAAACTAACATAGCTACTGAAAATTGCCATTTATAGATGGTTTACCTATTAAAAATGGTGATTTCCATAGCTATGTTAGTTTACCAGAGGGTAGGTTAAGGCCGAGAAGGCCTGGCATGTGAAGAATGCACCAACTGTACTATGCATGTATAATTATAATCTATAACTGCTAAGTTTAGCATGTTTCAAAAATAGAACATTAGTATAACATAGTATAACTTTGTTATTTTCATTTGGTAAATCGTTCCGGTAGACGGCTAGCCGCAGCATTGAAATTGTCGATCAGGCAATCGTGAGCATCCTTCGTTGCTGCTTTGTTGCTGCACTTTCGTCCTCTGAAGGGGATTGTTATTTTCTGACCTCCTTCCCGCCGCCACGGAAATTTTGAACTCGTGCCCCTCACCATCTTTTTTGACATCTTTTGACGTGGTTCCATGTTTGTTTAGTTGGGGGGGTAAACGAGGAAAAACGGCTGATGAAGGCTGAACACTTGCAATATATTGCTAATGTACACTGTTCTATGATATACATATATATATATATACATAATCAAATGAATCGTATATATGTATACATATATATATATATGTGACGCAATAATATACTCATTATGAATATATAGTATGTTGAAATATATTGAAATAAATTTACATACTCTATCATCTATATACATATAAACTTTTGCAGTCGATTATGGGGTAGCTGACCTTGATTTGGGGACGCCACTGTTAGGTCTGAATTGAACCATATATTTCTTGATACCCTAGTGCTCCCATAGTTGCATCTCCCCGGTGAGTAAAACTATATGTTATTACAGTAATTAGTACAAGTGCGACATTTGCTATACAGCAGAGGCCCGCGCACACCCGGACCTGGAATCTGAAAGCAGCACTTGGACCAAAACCATACAAATTTAATCAACAATATCAACATACGAACGTTAATCAAATCAACATGTGCTCGCCGAAGAGGTTCCTAATAAAACTAAAAAGAATCAGAATTCTTCACTAAGAAGTCAAGTGTCCAATCATGTCCAATCTGCAGCGTCACCCCGATACAAAAAGCAATGAGGATCCGCTTGGCGAAGAAGTTCTCTGCTAAGCGCCTTTTTTTAGTTTATATCCAACCAAGGTCAAGCACAATTTGCTGCCTGAAGAGACTCCCTAATCAGGAGCAAAGTATCTACTAAAAACTTTACATATATGTATATATGTTTCACATTCATTTTGTATCAACCGAATCCAAGCCTCAAACACATGGCTTCTTTTATTGTTGGGGTCCAAGACCACCATTTCAATCCACCAGTTCACCATTTAAGGTCAATAGTAAAATTGTAGTAAATTTTATAATGAAATAGTAAGGGGAAAACCTTGAACATTGTGAAAACAACTGCTGGCAAATAGTTTCTATTAATTTCAGGAAACTTACCAAGGGCATGAAGGGGTGAAAGGGAATGACCCATGAATTCAAACTTATATTTGGATGATCTATGACCCATGCTCTAGATCCTGAGACCCCAATTCGATTGCAAAAGTGTGTGTATATATATATATATTATATCATATCTATTAAAGTATATTAAATCATATCATGTCATATTAAATTACATTATATTATATTACATTATATTATATATATTACATTATATTATATTATACTACATTATATATGTTATATTACATTATATTATGTTATATTGTATCATATATTATATTATATCATAATATAATATAGTATAATATAATATAGTATAATAGATTATAATATAATATAATATAATATAATATAACATAACACATATGATAAATTAAATATATGATATAATATAATATATTATAATAAAAGATAATATGGTAAATTATATTATATTATAGTATATTGTATATTATACTCTATGTTAAATTATATAATGTACTATACATTATTATTATTTACATTATATGATATTATTAATATATTTATAGTAAATAATATAATATACTATACTATGTTATTGTATTATAATATTATAACATATTATATTATTATATTATAGTATATAATATATTATAATATAATTATATTGCATTATATTATAGTATATTATATTATATATCATATTATATATCATATTATAAATTATATATTATATATGATATTATATGTTATATTATATTATGATGTGATATCATGGATAAGACCTTTCTGTCTAAGCACCCAAAGGTTTCGGCTGGAGCTCACCAATGCCCAACTAAGATGCACGATCATCAGCCAAGACACCTTCACATCAACTATGTCGCACATACATATACATATATCTTGGTAAATTATAATAATTCACTAACCTGATATCTGGGCCATTTGGGGATGATTTCCCTTACTAACCATTATTCCTGGTGAGGTCGCAGTGAGGTCGTCGTAATTTACCCAGATATATGTATCTATCTATATAATGAATATAATGTGTGCAATATACTATATTATACTAGATTCTATAATATCTGTGTTGTGTAATTTTACCATATACTACATATAAATATATATATATAGTTATATATATATATTCACACTAATCCATCATATCCATCACCCTTCGTTCCGTATCCACTCCGCGCTGGCGCGGGGCTCCTTGTTGTAGGCGGGCAGAAACAACTTATTCCCACTGCAGCTGCCACAAATCACGCGGCCACAGGCTCTGCAGTGATGTTTGCGTTTGGTGCTGCTGAACCTGGTGGTTTTCATCGACTGCTGATCTCGTGATGTCCAGGGATTTAACCGACAAAAAACCCATGAAGAAATGCTGGTTTAAGCTCAACTTAAATGGATACAAGGGGTGTTTCAATGGGATTTAAGCCTTCAACGGATGGTGGAATGATATATCATGGACATCTTATGGGGATATCATGGGATAGGATGAGATGATTGTGTCACCCAGCAAAATATGGTGTTTTTATTGGATTTAACCCATGAACTTTGGTCATCAAACATGCCCAGCCGGAAAATCCATGAAAATCCAGATCGACGATTTTACCAATTCAATGCCAATTTGTAATAGAGATTGTCCCATCAAAGCCTCTATTTGCAGATGATGTTCCCAATTCAAACCTCCGTTTTTGAGGACTTCCCAGCCACCTCTGACCAGCAGTGCCCTCCACTTGCAGCACAAGTCACTTCTGCGTGCACAAAGGACACTCGCTCACTTCTTCATCCGGCACCCAAGGCGCAGGCTGCGCCATGCAGCTGGCGGATCTTTTCCGAAGACAATTTTTATGTGAGTTGTTTTTTTTTGTCCTTTTTGTTTCTATCTAATTAATGATGTCTAATGATCTACATATATGGAGTCAATTCAGTGATTTAACGCTGCCTTTTTCTGGAGCTTCGTTTCGAATCACCGTGAACTCCGGAAACTTTCGGTGACAACATGTTCTTAAAAAAAGTGGGAAGGTACTTGGCAAATTATATGGTTAATGATGGTTAATCATAATCTAATGATCAACTGGTTGGGATTATATAATAATAGTGGTTATGATACCAATCATAGTGGTTATGTATGGGTTATATATATGATGGGATAAATGATCATCTGGTTGGTGGTTGACCTACCCCTCTGAAAAATGATGGAGTGAACATCAGTTGGGATGATGAAATTCCCAACTGAATGGAAAGTCATAAAAAAATGTTCAAACCACCAACCAGAATTGGGTATAAGAAGAATCTGGGTGTGGAAATGATGTTCTCTTGGTATGTCAAATCATCTGGGTGTATCTGGAAAATTATATGAAACAATCACTCATTCAAGGGAGCTGCAATGTGGGGCTCCCTAGATAGCTAAGTGGGTTTATAACTCCAATAACTAGTGGTTTCTGATACTTATAAGTATAGTTTTCATGGGGTTTATAAACCATCTTATAACTTGGGGGGCACCACCTTGTGGAGCTTTCTTTCTGCCCCACCAATGGCTCCGCCCTTTGATGGTCTGACCATGAGTTGACTCAACAGCCTGAGCCTGTAAGAGCCCAGGCTGACGATAATCCACGTGGAAGACACAAAATAAACCCTGGAATTTGAGTGCCATTCGCCAGCTCATATGTCTATATATATGTCTAATGTTCCATGCATTATATATATATAATGATATATATATATAATGATAATATATATATACTGTATATATATAATGATATATATATATAATGATATATATATATATATAATGATACATATATATATAATGATATATATATATATAATGATACATATATATATAATGATATATATATATATATAATGATATATATATATAATGATATATATATATATATAATGATATATATATATATATATAATGATTCAATTATGTTCCAATCTACACAAAACAAGAGTCATGTCATGTAAAATCTTCGCCCAAAATAGCCTTCACAATAGGTCCCTACAAGTGATGAATCAACTTGGTGGGTGCTGACTAACCTCAGCCTCGTGGACGTGCAGTGAGCCTGCAATCTTAGGTACTAAAATAGTCTCTACATGTATCTACATCTATGTAGATTGATGTAGATGTAGATAGATAATATGACAGATAATGAAGCAAAGTCATGAGCACGGAAACGACATAGTCCGTCATAGTTTATTTGTATGACTTGTGCGCGCGTGCACATTGACAATAGACACATGCATCTACACAAAGAACTATCTACACACTGACTCTACAGCGGATGTCTATTCATTAACATTCACTGAAATTTTATTTCATGTGATTTCGGAATATTTCGGATATATAGCCATAATTAGCCATACCTATACCTATTCATTTAATGAAACCTAAAGAAACCACTGAGAACGATAAGCTGCAGAATCTGCAAACGGTTGCCCACCGAGTTCCCGAACTTGTCCATACCAATGCGAGGCTCTTGTACTGTCCCTGTGGCCGGACTCTCTCAGTTGCTACGACACTGTAACAAAAATACACAAATAATCAATATAAACTATAATAAAATCAAACATAGACATTGTATAGATGGCCCATAGAAATAGATGGTTTACCGTTCTTAAAAATGGTGATTTAATCATAGACTATAACCCATAGGATCCATGGTGCTGGCATATTAATGCTACTGTAACATGACTGGGGTATATTGATGGGATCCATGTTACCATATATCTCAGCACCATGGATCCGATGGGTAATAAAATCAAATATCATCAACTGAAAACTATAAGTAAACCATTAATTAAACTACCATATCTGATTTTATAATAGTTCTATATAATCACATTGAAATAGATATTGAAACCATTGACTCAACTCACCACTTGGACCCTGGCCTGCCACCAAGAAATGTTCCTCCACCTTCGGTCCCAAAAGCACAAAGGACCAGAAGGACTCCTTTAAGCTGCGCTGCGGACGAAGCAACTTGGATGCGCATGTCCCACTCTAGCGAAGTGGTTTATAAATCTTTATAATCCATATGGACAACCCATATAACACTATATATATATATAATTAACCTTTATAAATCTTTACAAATCGTTACAAAGCTTTATATACAACCCATATATAACCCATATAACCATATGTAACCCATATAATTCCCTATATACAGGGTTGTATAATCCATATAACAGGGCATTTTTTTGAGGCATTCACGAAGTGGGATGCATCCCCAAGAAGGACTATAGTTATGACAGTTATGGAAACTGAGAAATTTCCGTTGGGAAGTCATTGACAAAGTTTTCCGAATAATCTACTGAGATGTAGAACTTCGGGTTATTGACATAGCGAAACCATGGCCCATTTACAGATGATTTACCTATAAAAATGGTGTGTTTCCTTTTTTCCATAGGATCATCTCTGGATAGGACCTGCAATCAGGAGCAAGATGCAAGATACACAGCAGGGATTTTTCACTAAGGGCTGTCTTCACGTTGTGTTTTTTGATGGTTGACTTTCCAAGACTTCCAAAAAAGTTCTGGAAAGTTCAGAAGTGTTCCAATCTTCGATAATTTTAAGCGGAGTTGTTTTTCCATTGTAGCTATACCCATATGCTCCATGTATAGAATATCTACCAACATTTACCACCAAACTTACCCAAATGTATAGGTAAATATTCCAGCACCATGGTTCGCATCTGGGATATGTCAATACTTAGAATCAGAATACTTGGAAGTCACCACATTATTAAACCACTATTAAACCACTATTATTCCAGTGTTTTCTGGGTCAGGATTCTCTGAACATCGGGAACTTTGGAGGTCCCCAATCCTTGGTGTGGCTGCTCTGCGGTGAAAACTCGAAGCTCATCTCGAACCTGGGCTTTCTCCGAAAAATCGGCTACCCTTCGGAAACTATGGTTAAATATGGTTAACTATGGCTAACTATGGCTATGGTTTATGGTGTATATATATATATATATATATTAATATATATATATATTATACCATCTGGTTATGACTGACATAGCCATGGAAAATCACAATTTTTAATAGGTAAACCATCTATAAATGGGCCATGTTCCATGGCTATGTTAAATAACCAGAGGGTATATCAAAATTGAATGTGATTTCATGGGATGATTATGGGATATACCCTCTCGTAATCCACTGTGGCGATTGCGTGGACATCACTAATCAAGCCATGGCGTATTTTTCTGATACCTTCAGACTGTGGTTGCGAAATCCTGCACCACTTGGGAAATGGTAACTGGTTGATGGTTTGAACCCCTCTGAAAAATATGAGTTCGTCATTTGGGATGATTTTTCCCAATAGATGGGAAAAACAAACAATGTTCCAAACCACCAACCAGGTAACTATAAACCATTGTAAATAGCGGGACTATAGTGGGATAAACCATCTGTCAATGTCTGTCAACTGGTGCAGGATTTCGCAACCATCGTACCGACGTGGTGGGTGAAGAGGGACTGCATGCCATGGACTACAACACAAATCACTGCTATACCCCAAACATCACTGAAGTGTATCGAGCAATTGGGTTCTGATTTCGCACTAAATCCCAAACTGAAGAATAAACACATACACCAACAAGGATTACCAAAAACACAACACAGTGATCAACTTCTTTTGTAGCCTTTTGATCGCCCAAATTTGACCATTGATTACCAACATTGCAATGAACACAGTAGGCAACCAGAAAAGAGCTACATTCTAAAGCAAAGAAAAACAACATATCTGACCAATGAGATCTATCGCAGCTACTGGCGTCAGTTGTAATCCGTTCTTAAACATTCCACTGCTATGTCAATTTGATTTCAACGCTGGATCCACTTGGGTTCTTCCAAGCCCTCGCGCTTCTTGTTGGGCAAAATGGTTCCACGTTTCGTCAAGCACTTGAAGCACTCGTCATCACCTCAGCCGGAGCTGTGGGTGGCAGCGTGAAAACCTATCAGCTCCAAGAGGATTTACCATCCTTTCACCATCCTGAAATGGGGGACATGTATAAGTATATCATTCTAATATCTAAATCATAATCTTATTATGGTTTGATAGTTCAATATTATCATTGATATTATCTGAGCTATATATATATATCATATAATATTGAACTATTAAACCATAATATCAAACTATGAAACATGATTAAACTATATGAAATGCCCTCAGGAAGTGACCTCCACATGGCTCAAATACATTCCACCAAGGTGTCTGAAATGGCAGTGTTTCATGGATCGAATCCAACCTGGACTGACTCGGGGAGTGGAAGGTATCCTCCGATAGAAGATCCAAGACTAGAACAGGATGTTGCGCCATTCAATCCCCATTTTTCTTGGCTAAATCAAGTGATACTTCTGATCTTTGTATAGTCATTGTATATGATGGGTATACATATGTATATATATATATAATTATATATATATATATACATGTGATTCTAAAGAATCTCCGATTTTTGCTGCGGTTACATGGCAGTTACATCCCATTGGCTGTTCAGCCTCGTTGAACATCTCACCCCCGGCATGCGGGATGTTCGGCTGCCGCACCAGAGCCATCGGAGGAAAACATCGGCACCTCCGGAGCGTTCAACATTTACCCCACACATCATCCAGTCATGTAGGTGTGCATATACCAGCACCATGGGTTGCATCTGGGAAAGCATACTAAACTTATTAAACCTAGGATTTTGAATGATTTTGACATATATTGACATAATTCTTTGAAGTGGAATTCCAGGATCCTAAACTGAGGGTACTGTACCATTTTTCAGGCCATATTTTGTGGGGATATTCCCTTACATAGCCCTTACATAGGCCTTATATATCCTTATATATGGCAGGTACCTCCAATCAATCGGTTCCTGACATGGCCATTGATTGAAGTGGAGTGAACATCTATATGTCAATGTTTTTATTGGAGGTCGAAGATCATATTCCCCAGATTGTTTCACGGTGTTCACATGTGTTCACCAGCTGTTTACTCTCCAGAACCACAATCATGGGGGGTTATATAATTGTAATGGGGATAAAACCGGGATGTATGGTCCCAGCACCAGGGAAAATGATGAAACAAAAAAGATTATATATTATGATTACTCTTTCGTATTCACTATTTATGTTTCTTCTTAGCTTCTCAGTCCTATTAGCTGTTCAAAAAGTCTGCATCAGTTACCATCCGGTAAACTAACATAACTATGGAAAATCACCATTTCTAAGAACGGTAAACCATCTATTTCTATGGGCCATCAACAAACCATGGCAAAGTGTTAGTCAGAACATGTCGCGGCTAGTCCCGCCGGCCCAACTGGTTGCCACCTCTGGTTGCCAAATGAAGTCTAACGGCTCTGCAGTGGGGTTCATGACGTAGAACCTCTTGGTATTCTTCACATGCGTCCTGGACCACTGGACGGGCAGTTCACAGCGCCTGTTGAAGAAGGGAATAAAAGGGACCAAGTGGACTCTGGACCAGGAATTTATCCAAGAGGGTTCCAGTTGGTCCGGGTGTTTTAATGTTGATATATCCCATAGGATCCATGTATGGTATATATGCTAACATTTGGGGTATATTGATGGTAAATGTTACCATATATGGCATACATGGATCCAATGGGTATGTTGATGCTGAATATTTTCTTATGTTTTCTTGGTGTCTCAGTGTATCTCCTGAGCCTTGTTGACATGAAATCACTCCTGGAAGATGTCGTGTAGATTCGGTTGCCCCCAAAAAAACCGCCGGGTTCCCTAGGCTACACCCAACTCGCGCAGCGGTCCCTAAGCTGACAATCTCCAGGATGTGATATTTGGGGTCCAGAGGCGCGTCTGACCTCAGGTCAAGTTGCAAAGATATCCCGGAAAATTAAGCATAGCATATATAGTATTCAGGAAAACATGTGGGTAACTAAGCATCAATCCATAAAGGTGTAACGGTGTAACAATAAACACATGGAAGTCTCAGTGGAATTTCAGGCGACATCAGATACAAAAAATGGCCACCATGGTAACTGTTGGTAACGCGATATTAATGTGTATATTTTATGAACATCCGACAACCTTAGGTTGTTGCTTGTTTCTCAGCCAGGTTTTCTTGTTTTTTTTGCAAACTCCAAAAAGATCGAAAAGCGTTTCGATCTAAAGGTATAGATGATATGTTCCACATATGTTCCACATATTTTCCAAGTAAACCAATGTTGCATATCTTTTAGCACCGGCCGAGCCGGGGAGGAGTCGGTGGTGAGATGAGCGCCCATGAGGAATCGAAGCTACTATGATTTGGGGGGTATGTATATATATATATATATATGTATACACCCACTAAATCATGTATCTTAGCCATGGTATATAAACCATATGCATATATATATATATATACATATATATATATATAGTATATCATCAACAAGATTGTATATGGCTTATGGTCATCCCATGCTATAATATATCCATAATGATGTTGTATATGGAAATAATGATCTTGATATGATATTCCCATATGTTCCCTACATGTTTTTCAACCGTAAGCTACAATGAATGTGTATATATAATATATATATATACCATCTGGTTTTTTAACATAGCCATGGAAAATATCCATTTTTAATAGGTAAACCCAGTAAACCATCTATTTCTATGGGCCATCATTTTCCATGGCAAACTGTTAGTCATAACCAAAGGGTAATTGTATATATATATATCTCATCTTATATCATCTGATATCATCTATCATCTATATGACATGATATTGCCATTCCTTTTACAATGCTATGGTCTATCAAACAAACTAGAAGCAATTACCCTCTGGTTATTTAACATAGCCATGGTATAGATGGCCCATTTATAGACTATTTTCCCATTAAAACCTCCACGTATAAGGGATTTTCCATGGCTATGTTAGTCATAACCAGAGGGTATAACCAGAGGTTTCCTACACGGTCATCCCATGCCGAATCGCAAGGATGTGTTTTTCTCAGTGAAAGCACCGCTTTCTGAAAGCCACCATGTCACCATGCCAAAAAGTCTCATCTTTAGCAAAGAATAGAGAGACTATAGAAATAGCATGAGACTTGCCAGATGAGACTTAGAAAATAGCTGTTAGATGAGACTATAGAGATAGCTGTTAGTCTCTCTATGCCAGCATGTCATCATGCCATATAATCTAATAGCATAGAGATAGCCCAACAAATAAAAGTTCACAAAGACTCACTAGAGAGAAATAACATACAACAAAACAAAAAAACACACCAACTCTTGGCTATCATAAGTTACATATAAATATCAATTGTGGATGTATAGTACAACATGTATAAACTCGGTAAAACCCCCAACCGCTATAGTTTCACGGCCGCCCGATGACCGTTTGGTTCTATAGTGAAATGTTCACCAACTTACGTATCCCAAGTCAAATACGAGTTTATTTATTCTATCATGATATATCCATGAAATAAACACTACTTGACCTAGTGATATGCATTTCCCATCAATAAACCAGACTTCTCAACATTCTGCTAGTTAAGTCAAAACATTGGGTTTATTCTCCGGTAATCAAACATTACCCTCTGGTAAACTAACATAACTATGGAAAATCACCATTTTTGATGGGTAAATCCACTATAAATGGCAATTTTCAATAGCTACGTTAAATTACCAGAGGGTATGGCAATCGAAAACCCACGATTTATAGATGATTTTACCACTACCTCCAGTTTTTGTTCAGGAATTTCCCAGCCATGGCCATGATGACACCGCGGAAGAAACTTTTCCACAATCACCTAATATATGACCCCATTACAGATAAATCTGGGATTTGATTAGTACCTAATATATGGGATTAGTATAATAAAGATTAGTATATAGTAATATGATCCCATTCATATCCTATTACTAGTAAACAGTAATCACATCTTATTCCATTTGATTACAGAAATCCCATGTCAGAAATCGGTTGAATTCCCATGAATCGAAGCCAGTGAAAAAATATTCCTTTCTGAATAAGCCATGACAAAAGTCACCAAAAAAAACATGTTTTAATGGGAAAACCATAGGAAAACCATAGGAAAATGGAGGTTTAACCCTCTGGTAAACGTTTACATAACTATAGAAAATCACCATTTTTAATGGGTAAATCCACTATTTCAATGGCCATTTTCAATAGCAAACTGTTCAATTACCAGAGGGTACCTATGTAGTTCGACAATTCTCCATCACCATTCATCACCATTGACCATTTCACTACGAGTTGCCATTAATAATATCATGACACTGGATCATCCACGTGAGCTTTCTATATCTGCTTGGTGGTTGATCTACCCCTCTGAAAAATATGAGTGCGTCAGTTGGGATGATGACATTCCCAATATATGGAAAAATAAAAAATGTTCGAAACCACCGACCAGATATAGCGTTCGATAATTTTCTATAATATATAAGGGGCAAAAAGTATTTGGACCTTTTGAGACCCACCAATTTTCGACCTGGCTACCTCGAATATGACATTCAAATACATGGACAACCTGAGTTTTCGACATGGTTTTCTATAGTTTTCTATCCCATATGCTCCCTGGTGCTGGAATATTCAGAAAAACATTTATCCCAAACATCATCCAGTCATGTAGGTAAATATACCAGCACCATGGGTTGCATCTAAACTTACTAAACCTAGGATTTTGACATATATTGACATAATTCTTTGTCTATAATTAGATGTAATTAGTAATGTAGCGTAGTATATAAACATTACTGGTTGGTGGTTTCAACCCCTCTGGAAAATATGAAAGTCAATGGGAAGGATTATCCCATATATTATGGAAAATAAAAGCCATGTTTGAAACCACCAACCAGTATATATAAACCTTGGGATATAATTAGCCAGTTATAATTCACTAGATTGTGGTCTATAAATGTCTATGATAAACACTAATAAACCTGAGTTTTCTATCGTTTCCCCCATGGCACCAATGGTAGAACCGCTGGGCGTGCAGAACTGACGCCGGCTGCGGTAGTCCGACGCGGGCACCTCCAAGTGACACCTTGAGAAAGGTGGAAATTTCTGTGGAAGGGCTGCTTATTATGGTCATTAACCAATATGAAATCTGAAAACCTATGAAAACTATGGATTTGATGAATTTTAGTGATTTTTTGATGTTGGTTGATGATTTTCCAGAATGATTTAAGGGTGTTCTAATGGTTGTTCAATGGGATTTAACTGGGAATATGATGGGAAAACCTGCAATAAATAAACCTAATAGATCCTAATAGTACTTATCACTTGGTTTACAACTTGGCTGGACTAAATGAACATGTAGTGGTAAACCAAAAAAAGAACTATTGGGGATGGGGTTTACCAGCAAAAAGGTGGACAAAATGTGCAATGTCCAGTCAATTGATGATGTTACCACTGCTATTGCGTAACAATTGTTTTTGACTAAGAAAATGGTCATTAGAGTCATTAACATGTATTAATGAACATGTTCCACTGTTGTTTTACCAATTTAATATGTCATCATTATTTACCATAGTCATTGTCAAGGTTGAATAAATCTTGTTGGCATCAAGATTTTTCCAAGTGCCGTGTCCCAGAGCAGCAGAGCTTTGAGTCGCGCAGAGGGGCAAAGGACATCATTTCTACCAGGATACAGCCATGCACATGTTGCCAACACTATCAACATATATCAACATCATTTGATGATCTGATATGAATAAAAACATTATTTCACATTGTCTTTAACACATGAGATCTTTATTATTATAACAAAAACACATATATATATATATATATGTATAGCTATATATATATATGTATATATAATTATACTGTATATATACATGCACAATATATATATATATATAGATACACAGTCATCCTGATAAGGTACAGTCATTCCGTTTTTTTTTCTGTGGGATGATTCGCTGGGTGTCCCGAGCCAAGGTCTCAAGGCGCTGCCCGCCAATGGCAAGCGAATGACCTGAGCACCGACGGGACCGACGGGACCTGGTGATCCTTAAGAGATGGTGACCAAAATGGCTGTACAGTTTACTTAGATTGTAGATATAGATATATGTGGGGGGGACCTTTGGGGTATATTTCGTCCGTTCCGTGAGAAATAATATGACCTGAAGGTCCCTCATACATATATATATATGAAGTATATAGATTTCAACCTCTGGTTTATAGATATAGACCAAAGTTATTATCTAGCAAGTCTAGATACTTACATCTAGAGGTTTTATTGTTTGCAGCATTTAATTACAGACATCTACAAACCATAGGTTACCAAAAAAAACTAGTAATAACTGATAACCCCATCTAACTGAAAAAAAAAGTTGTAAGTCTAGTATAAAGCTCCACATTTTTCCATTGTAGGAAAATTGTGCACCTGGAAGGCTGTCAGACAGGGCGTCACAGGAAATGAGCCAGTTGAGATATGAGAAGATTATTATATATTTTTTTTGGAAACTAGATGTCAGAAACATATATATATATGTATACCTATATGTGTCATTAGAACATGGAGTGCAAATTCTGATCTGGGAATTGCTGTATTTTGATCAAAGAATCAGTAACTTAACAATCACTGATACCATGATTTAACAACAGCAATTTGATAATCATGATTAAATAAAACACATAAAATAAAGCAGGTTATTATAACATGAGTTTCATAACCAACCCCCCAAAACAATGCGCATGACAACAATGGGAGTTTTGTATGTGATTTATGATAGATAAGTTGCTGAATACTTCACAAAATTAGACCCTGGGTTAATATAGGTTAATATAGGTTAATGATTAATTATGGGTTCCCTTTTTCATGGATATCATGATATCATAAACTTGGATGGGTTCAAGAATTACCAGAAGCTCACGGTTGTGATATGCGTTACCATCAATTCTAATCAAAATGTGCCTCTAAAAACAATCTCTGAAGGGATCTTCAGCCAATTCTGCTGAAGATAAAGTCTGGATGAATGTTCTGGGTAAATTATAATAATTCACCAACCTGAATTAAGGTCATTTGGGGATAGTCACCCCTACTAACCACCATTCCCAGTGAGGTCGCAGTGAGGTCGTTATAATTTACCCAGAATGTTGTTCATCATAGTCACTTCTGGGACAGTATATCCTCCAGTTTTTCTTCGGGGATCCTCCCATGCCAAGATTGCCGGGACAATCCCCCTGGGCAAACCTCTTGTGTCCTTTCTACCTATAGCAACTCCCAAAAAGCCAACAAAACGAACACAATTTAGGAATTTGCTGTATCACTACTTTAGTAGATGCCTCCGGTAATCACTATTTTAGTAGATGCCTCCGGTAATCAAACGCTCAAACATGGCTGGAAAATGAGCCATTCAGTTCAATGATTTTCTCAGCTATAAAACCTCCATTTGATTGAGGATTTTCCAGCCAGCCATACTTGATAACACCAGGAGCCATATAGTCAGGTGATGCGCATCCAAATGGTGCTTGTCGCCATGGTGATGGGGATGAGAAATCAGGTGAATTCGTTATATTCAGTATATTAATGTATGTATATAATTTGTACATAACTACATAATATTACATATATGACATTATAATACACTATAATACATTATTATAATACATTATAATACATTATTATAATACATTATAATAGATTATAATACATTATAATACATTATTATAATACATTATTATTATACATTAAAATACATTATAATACAATTATAATCATTATTATTATTATTAATTATAATACATTATAAGACATTATACTAATATTATACTACATTATGATACATTATAATACATTACAATACATTATAATACAATTATAATACATTATTATTATTATTAATTATAATACATTATAAGACATTATACTAATATTATACTACATTATGATACATTATAATATATTACAATACATTATAATACCATTTCAACTGGTTCTATAGCGATGAAGCACGTTATGGAAGCTCCCAGCTCCGGAAGCCACTGAGACCCCCAACGGGTTTGCCGCCATCAATCATCGAACTTGACCCAAACAAGGTACCTGTTTTCGGTCAGCCAAGGTCCGATCGCCCAAATCTGACATTGGTCCGCTGGATATGGAGAATCTATGGTTAACCTGTGGATAATGTGGAGAATCTATGGTTAACCTGTGGAGAATCTATGGTTCACCAATGGATAATATGGAGAATCTATGCGAGTACTCAACAAATCCGTAGTTTCTGGCAATCAAAGATTGCTAATGCCAAAAATGACAAAACAAACATCAAAAACCATCCATTGAGAACTTTCTAGATAAGATTCGTAATCACTAAAAAAAACGTTTGTTTTCCTTTCATTTATATAACGATTGTTCTGGACAATTCCTATATCAAAAGGCAATGATTTTCCATTCCCAGGTTTGATCACCGGTGAAGAAACCGAAGGTGAGGGCCGCCAAACGGCATTTTGACAGCGTCACCCAAATTGGAGAAGGATGGATACAGACCCTGTTCCGCTGGTTCAAAATCTTCCAATTGCGCGGATACCGGAAATCCAACATGGCTAGCCTGAAAATCCAGGCTACCATTGGCATGGGAAAATCCTCCACGTATGTTTTGCAAATTGGATAATATAACTGGATGATTTTCCAGCCATCTCTCATCACCAAGAGGATACCCAACCAGTTTCTACACCCTTCAGCTTTCAACGGGCGCACAATCAAAGTTCTCCACTTCGTTGGGAGCGAAGTGCACTTCGATCTGGTGGGTTGGCACGGTTCGGGAAATTCATGTTTTGTTTTGTTCCCATATTTTTTCCCCATAAACCAATAGTGTTTAATGGTGGTTTAATAGTGGTTTAATAATGTGATGACTTCTACATTTCTCCCATAGACATCGACCACTGAGGTTTCATGATATAATCATCCCCCCCAGTCACCAAGTAACTGGCTCTGGAAGTTGGCGAAATGTTCACCCCAGGCCCAGTGAATGAAGAGTTGGGTACAGATAGGGGCAATGTCCAGTGATTGAAGAGAGAGGTGAACTAACCTAACATACCTAACTAACCCAATTGCGAACTGGAGTGGACCAGGTAAATTCAAGTACAATTAAATGGTGAAAATCCACAATTTCCAGTGGACACAGCTGCTTTTTCGCCGACCCATCTACTCCGAGGCTCACCCACGGAAAAATCCTCACTGCTCCCTCCATTGGATATGATTTGTTGACATCACCACTGTGAAAAAAGGGGGGGACGCACATACCCAAAATGTAAGCTACATTTTTCAAGGTGTTTTGAGGGTCTTGAAAATGTCAGCTTACATTTTGAAGGTATTTTGAAGACCCTCCCCACAAAAACGACACCCGGGGGACGTTCAGCGAACAATTTTACATTTCAGGTGGGGTCCCAAAAAAATGCAAAACTCACATTTTGGTATGGTCCCCCCATGAAAAGTATAGCCTTCAAGGGGTGGTGAAGGCTGGAAAAACCCTCTATTTCTCCATGAGTCTCCGATTTTCCCAGATCCGATACCGGTGCCTCCTTCTCGCTTTCAGCTGGAATGATACCAGAGGATGGTTTCACCGTGTAGGCGTTCGCCAGTTTGCCCTGGCAACGATGTCTTTTAATCACAAATGTAAGGAGTTAATGGGGTGTTAAATGAGATGTTGATTCCCCAGGGAAAATGGCAATTGAACGGGATTTAACCAATAAACATGGAGATTGAACTTGATTTTACGCGTTTAACGAATGGGATTTCTGAATGCGAGATCAATGGGAGATTCATGGGAATTTTCAAGAGCTGACTTATCTTCCTGGAAGATATCCTCTGGATCCTTCAGATTTCATCATTTAGCTTCCAGATATTCAACTGATACAGAGGCACAATTGCCAGGATTAATCTCCGTCAAACAATAACCAACTACATACACATCAGGAGGCAATTGATATGTTTCATTATGTTTATATGTTTAGGATATTCATCAGTATTCATTGATAGTCTATCGACTGTCTATACCGCATATATTCATGTCATACTCTGGCATCTCATGGATTGTGACAGCCCCCCTTGTGACAGTTTCAACCCTGAAATCTGAGATGTGGTTTTCTTTGCTCCCGAGACCAACAAGCACAGGATTCCCTTGGCCCTTTTTCCCGTGACCAAGGGGAACTACGACGAGATGAGTTAACTCCTAGGCCCACCTGCCCGCCGCTTTTTCCAGGGAATCGCAGTCGCCCTGCCTGTAGTGGGCTAATAGTCATTTTGAACTGGCCATTTTGTCATGGCCAGCCGATTCTCTATACAGTGAAGTTGATTTCGAACGAGAAGAGTTAAGTGTACACAGTGAAAAGATGTGAAAAGGACCAAAGGTCAATTGTCTTATTGTTTGATCATATTTCACACGTACCGCACTAGCAACGTACAAGTCATTGATTCAACTCACATCGATAGAGCACACAACTCAATATCAAAGCACTATACATCACTACACCAAACTTCTTAATGGCGCTTTATCTGGGAAAATCATACTTTATTTCATAATCTGGTGTAAGTGCATACTACTCACCATGTACTGTGAGTACAGTGAGGTAGGCCTCTGAGGTCCTTAAACTCGATATATCCAAGAAACAAAACACTCAAGTGAACTAATATAATTAGTTTAATTGAAATTTGCAGTTCAGAAATAGTCGGAAGTTGCTTTACCTTTTCCAATTCACGGTTCCCGGGTTTTTTCCTTCCAGATTAGGCCTTTTAGACCAGATGTTTGTCTTCATTTGGAGGTTTAGTATATCCTGAAAGTCGACTGCCGAAAAACCCACCAGACCCAGCGGTGATCATCCGAACTAAACCCAGGTTTTTTTTTTCAGTAAAATACATCACTGGGATTTGATTGGATTCCCCATGATGATCGCATTATATCTCAATATATCCCATTATCATCCCAATATGTGTCCATTATATCCCAATATTATCCCAAATCATGGGCTATATTATCTCGCTATATATCCCATATCCCATAAAGAAATGGGATCACAACGAAATCCGGGACTTGCTCACGGTGATTCCTTGCAAAGCTCGCGATGTGTCAATAAATCTTACCCCTACGCAACCGGACAAGTATAGACATACAGTGGCATACTACATCATACTACTATCAAGATCTATGAAGTACTTTACTATATTCTGACTCCTAATGTTTTTTTCTTGTTGCTTTTGCAACACATGTTTGTTGGCTACATACCCATTCCGCAATAGATTATATACATAATACATATACCCAGATGCTCCATGTATGGACTATTTACCTGCATTTGGGTCATGTTGGTGGTATATGTTGGTAAATATTCTATACATGGAGCATATGGGATATATATATATATATATGTGTTTCTGAAATCTCGAAACATACCAATGAAATTCCCCACACAGGAATCCCTCCATAAATCCGTCATTAATATCATATAATCCCAATGCTTTACAATCAAATATTACATTTATGTTCCATCTATCATTCATGGTTGAATTCTATACTCCCATGAGTCCCATGCCCCGGGAAAATGCTCGATCTGTCAAGGGTATATCCTTGGATTTGCTTCAAGTGCAGTGTGGACTCTGATGATTCTGCCTTGGGAAAACAAAAAAAACACATCTGATCACATCTTAAGGTATCCCTCAAACTCTCATTGTGTATGTTGTGTATGTTGATTAATTATGATTAATTATCCCTATATGGAATTATACTATATTATATTATCAAGTAATTCATAAGGTATCCTCATCCTCAAACTCCTTTATAAGGCCCCTATACGTCACTTTCGCGGATCGAACTCCTATCCCTTCTTGCTCTTCTTTGAGCTCACTGCACCGAGCCTCGGACGAGCCGATAAATAGCCGTTGTTCGATGTTTTCAGTTGGAAAATTCCAACAATAGTGGTTATATACCTCCATTAATTGTGGTTATTTAATAAGACTAAGGGGCTATCTATGACTTTGGAGATCTAAATTCCAACAAAGTCCTGACTTTGCTATGGTTTTGAAGGAGACATTGACCATCGATGTAAATATAGTGATTCATATTTGAGAACAACGCATCAATGATAGGAAAATATGGGATGTAAACCGAACTTAGAATGGGTTGGTCCAACAATGGCTGTGATATGTTTTTTTTTGCATTGAAGAAGAACATCCTGACAAGTCACTGGGATTGGGGGTACCCCTCCATTTTTTCATGTTTAGACATGTTATGACATGTTTGGACATTCGACTGACCACCGACAAATGGGAAATTCAGCGCAAAATTGTCCCAACACGTATAAAATGACCTGCGTTGTAGAGCTAGTATCAAAATAATATCAAAATGGTGCATCTATCTTTAGATGGTTGTTTTGCCATAGAGTAGCCAACATACTGACCAAACCAAACATGTTGATGCTGAACAATAAACATGTTGAACCAGGATGGTCTTCCATAAAGATAAGTCTGCTGGAACGTGGTTTCTGAGTTTTCCCAAACCTTGGGTTGGATTGTCAACGTCAGAAACTATTTTCTGAATCATTTAATCCCACTATGGAGGAAGTCACAATTCGCGTGCGTTAAATGGTACTTGTTCTTGCTTAAAACCAGCCGCCTTGATATGTCTTTTCTCTCACGTTGGGTCAAAATCATCAAAACATATCAGAATTGATCCAGTTTTCCTTTGAATTTGTTTTCTTTAATACAAAAAAAGGATAAAACATGTCCACGTTATCCAAGTTTTCTGGGTGAACCAGGTACAAGTACTCAGTGCCCAGCGCTTCTGCGCCACTAGCCTTGGGCTTCATGGAAAAGCTGCTTCCAGCCTGGAAAGAAGATTGGAAGGAACTGGTGGATTTTTTTTGAGGAGTTTCATCTCATCTCCCCGAAAAAAGAGAAGTTTTACTGTCGAAAATGGGATTTGACCATGAAAGATAAGGATCCGAGCAGTAACCTGAGACCTCTAAAAAAGGGGGGCGTTCAGCATCAAACATGGGGGGGTGATTGTTGAACACATAGGCTTTGATGTTCAGAAAGAGTGGTTTCACCCAAAATCATGCAATATATAAGATAAATATATATATATGATATTACATATTATATATATATATATATATGTATACACTGAAAATGACAACCCAACATGGGGCGCCACTAGCATTTTTTTGCAACATGAGCCAAATCCTGGTAGAGTTGGGATGGATCGTTGGTTGGTGGTTTCAACCAACCCCTCTGAAAAATATGAGCTCGTCAGTTGGGATCATGACATTCCCAATATATGGACAGTCATAAAATTCCATGGTTCCAAACCACCAACCAGCATGTTGTATTTAAACCGGACTTGTTGGGTCCTTTGGTGATATGTCCCCTTACTTTGGTGAGGTGGTTCTGAGGTCACCATAGACTATAATTACAAATTACACAGGGTGAATGCGTGGAGGTTCAAACAAGTGGCAACAAGATGTAACACGATGTTTTTGAGGTACCCGGAACATTTCAGGTAGAAATACTGGCAACCATGTTTACTATATTGAAAGGAAAACACTCCTATCATCTCCTATCTCCCCAACAAAGATAACGTAAGCAGGTTCTGAGATTTTTGTTTCAAACAGGTGGCAAACGGTTTTTGCTTTCACGATTCTTAAGCAGCCCTGCCAGTTTGATATTTGATCAAATAATGATGATCATTGATTTCGTCTGCCCTTTACCAAACCTCCCCCTAAATAATAAACCTATTAGGGAGAAGAGAGAACCAAATGATACCAAATGTACGGCGCTGATCAGCAAGTTGTAACTTCCAGAGGGCCTGCCCACTCTTGCTTGGTGCTTCTGTGAAAGCACCTGAGAAGATGGTTCCGGGGCCCAATGGGCTTATGACACATATGCATATGCATTTGTTTATCATTTTTCATTTTTCATTGCCAATCTTAGATACCCTTCAAAAAAATAATTTCTTTGCTGGTGAACGTAGATATTCCCATTAATACCAAAAGACTAAAGGATTAAAATATCCATGTAAATATGGGATACCCTCCAGGTATCATCCAACCCTGGGAAATCCAATGGGAAAATTCCAGCGAGCCAACTACGGAGGTTTGCTTCGCTGGGAAAACCGTTGAAATGTTGACATTGCCATGGGAGATGTTGAAAAAAAACACCTTTGATTACCGAAAGGTCGAAAGGTATCAATTGGTATCACCTTGATCCTGGTGTCACTGGAATGGTGGCGACAAATCAGCCGAACTGGAGCCAGCACTTCAGTGAATGATACTTGGCATTTCATCCCACTGGTAGGTAGCTAATATAAGTTGATTATATCCCGAGTCATAAGGGGACAAACCCCAAGAGAAATAGCCTCGTTTATCAGCTGTAAGTTGGAACTGCCAAGTCTGAAGACCCTGAGAGCTTGGACGAATGAAGAAGTCAATGGAGAACTCCTGGTGCTGTGCCGGCGAGCGGCAGTTAGCTCAAAACCCCTAGAACTCCATGGAATCCCTGATGGAGGAGGACACAACATGACCTGGTTGGTGGTTGACCTACCCCCCTGAATATGACTTCGTCAGTTGGGATGATGAAATTCCCAACTGAATGGAAAGTCATAAAATTCATGTTCCAAACCACCAACCAGCTCTAAAACAAGGGTACCTGGGTATCCAAAAGTAGACCATTTTCGTACCTGGTGACTTGGGGATGCCCCATAGGAAACCTCCGAATCACTGAGCCTCCAGAAGACATGGTTTGATGCCCGTTGGCCGTTGGCAGGAACCCCAGAAAAGATACGGTAGGCTTCCACAGGTCCTGAAGAATCATATCTTCTTGATCTGCTAGCAAGAAAAAGGGAAGGCACACATCTTTCTGCCGTGGTGAATCTCACTATGACATCATTTCCCAGATTCTCCGAGACCATCAGGTTCATTGACATATAAAAATCCTGGAATTTCCAGAAACACCCAGAAACAATTAAATATATATATATATAATTTCATGTTAAACCCAATGGCCCAATGCCAACCATTTCATCTGACGGCTTTCTACCTGCCATTTCTTGCGGATTCTGCCTCGGGATTCTCTCGTCGATTGAAGGGAAGCAAGTAGAGCGCACCTGGTCCGCTGTTAGGTAAGCCCCTTCCGCTGTCAGCTAAAAGTTCTCATATCAATGGGAGATCTCCAGGATCCTAAAATGGAGGTACTGTACCATATATAAAGCCATATTTTGGGTGTATATCCCCTTACATGGCCCTTACATATAGGCCTTATGGTAGGTACCTCCGATCAATCGGTTCCTGAAGTGGCCATTGATCATAGGGGATTCAACCCAAAAGGCTATGTGATCTGTGAATGACTGTGACACAGTGGTCATCATGAGTCATCATATTTCTTGACAAGCCAACGCATATTCCTCAATCCAAATCATCCGTTAACCCACCCAATATACTAATTTTTACTAGATCTATCTAATTCTGATTCTATCTAAGTATTGACATACCCAGATGCTCCATGGTGCTGGTATATTTACCTACATTTGGGTCATTTTGGTGGTAAATGTTGGTAAATATTCTATACATGGAGCATATATGGGAATGATTATTCTACTCCATAAATTGAACTATATCTATCCAAATGTATATATTCCCAATGACTATGCTTAATTATGGAACCCTACACGGATTAACAAATGTTGCCTACATCCACGTTGCATCACGGCTCCAAGCTTCCAGGCGTTCCACAGCGTTGTAACCCAGCAGCAATTCAGTCACCTTGCGATTCAGTCAGGGTCTCAACGGGGGATGAACGATCGATATATCTACAGTTCCCATAGGATCCATGTATGGTATATATGCTAACATTGGGGGTATATTGATGGTACATGTTACCATATATAGCATACATGGATCCTATGGGGTTGGAGATGGGTTTAATTTTAGAAAGCAACTTCGGCAACTTCTAACTAGGAAATCAGCTTTGGAGTAGGATTGCATCGATTGCATGTGTGACCACGGACCAAAAACGAGAAGATTCATTGACAAATCTCATTGTTGGTCAACAACAACCAATACTTATGCATGTTTCAAAACCATATCATACCAAGACTATTCAGATATTAACCAACAATATCCTCCAACATTTATCCATCAATATCGACAGAAATTAGCATTAGATCAACAAGAAACCATGCCGCGCCAAACCCACCATGCACCCGTACGGTACGACCTGGAAGGGATTATCCTGTGGATATCAGAAGTGATTGAATCCCTCACATTAAAATAACTCACTTCAATGAAATCCTGGTTTAGTACTGGATCATACTGGATCCATTTTTTTGGGGGGCCATATTATATATGTATGTGGAGACTGTGGAGATGTTTAATGTAATTAATGTGAAGGGAAAGGGCTACTATATACAAAATGATTCAACGTTAGACATCTGGGTATTCTGGGTATCAAATCTGTCCGATGCTTGGCTGACCTACTGTGATCATCTATGACCAGTACTCTTGTCACTAAGGTCTTAGATGTCTGTTCTTTTCTCTTTGAGTTGACGTCTTCAGAAATGCCACATGAGAATGAAACACGTTCAAAAAATCCCGACACTTCTGTCTTGTAAATGCCTTGGCTCCCCAGTTCATGATAAACAGTTTTTATACGGATACTGTACCCATAGCTCCAAAAACGATCCCTCCATCCACCACTGGATAGCTTCAAATCTCCGGTGGTACTACACAGGGGGGTAGTCCCCAGATTTTAGCCAGCGAAATTTCTATGGCGAGTTTCATTGGTGTTACCCTCTGGTAATGACTAACATAGCTATTGAAAATGGCCATGTATAGTGGATTACCCATTGAAAATGGTGATTTTCCATAGTTATGTAAACGTTTACCAGAGGGTATTCCCAGGCTAAATCCCCTTCAAATGACCATTGATACGGATGGAATTTCTCCACAGGTGCCCAGACGACTAGAGCCAAGAGCATCATGTATAGTGCGAGCCTGGCAGCTCAGGAAGACTGGGCATATCCAGTCGTTCCACGAAAGACATTCTCAATTCTGATGTTCTCCAATATATTGGGTACCTATTGTAGTATAATTAGTATGAATATGTATGAACATTATGAATGTTCTAATGAACTGCTCAACTGGGGACATTCCACCTGTCACTGGGTCATGGCTATTACATACACTTACAAACTGTGATGCATATCCAATTATGAGGTACTTCTGGGGTAGACAGTCATGATGTCCTTGTTTTACCCGAAGGCTTTCAGCCTTCAAACATTCTTGAGTGCCAAACGTGACACATGCTATTGCTCGAAAGGAGGACAGCCGGGGCTTGTGAACCTATTAACCCACAAATCTAGCCTGGTTGGTGGTTTCAACCCTTCTGAAAAATATGAAAGTCAGTTGGGATGATTATTCCCAATATTTGGCAAAATAAAAATTCATGTTCCAAACCACCAAGCAGTAGCAGTTCGTCTTAGCAATGCACCATTCCTTTGTCAGTCCAACTCTTTTGGGTCACACATGTGGACAGGACCCCAAAAACGTGATAGTCTATGACTGAACTTGGGCAAAATCCATGGTTCCGAATTTTCCACATATATGGCATGGCTAAGCCGCTAAGCGAAGTCACCTTACAAAATCTTACAAAACAGAAACTCATGTTCAAATGGAAATGACGTAGTTCAGTGCATTGAACAAATAGCCCATTTACCTATCCAAGCAAGGATTATGCAGTAAATATCTCAATACCAAACCGTTTTTGTGTCATTTGTATACACTCATACCGAGCAAAAGTGGGTATATAATCATCAGTGTTTCCCTATTACTGCAACCATCATAATCCGCTAATCTAAAGAAATGTACACATAAAACAGGATGACAATATATAGTATATATAAACATCCTACAGATTCAAAATCACGACATATTAGCAATTTGTTCGACTAAAAAACAACTTATGTCATCACCATCAATAGAGAATTGTAATCAACATATTGGACCAAATAGAGGCTTAAGGGTCATATGAGCAGTGTTCAAAAGCCCTCTGTCATTCCATTATACTAATACTTGTATACTGATTGGTTTAAAGGTATTCCCCGTTCTTGGAGTATTATAATGACCAATACATATATTTATATATATAGATATATTGGGTAGTATAATCTCCTATAATCATCAATCACATAATTGGACTATTATATTCCCCGTTCTTGGAGTATTTAAGATCCCCAACAGGGGTTTTCACCTGATGGATGGCACCACTGCCCCAAGCACCTGATGGCAAGCACCGCTTGCCAAATGGAGAGGTCAACAAAAGGATCGAAACAGGAGAAACCAACTAGATTATTGGGAAGGTCAAATGCTTGTTGGTTTATGAAATTGGAAAGTCAAACATGAAGACAAAGATAGACAAATGTTGATTTTCGTATATTTTCGTTACTTTAAGAACAAACACATAGTGGGATACATGCTTTGGATATATTTTTATTGACGAGACCACCATATGCATTACATACCTGATCATATGCATAGTACTTACATGGTGCTACATGTTTTTTTTCTGAATATATTATATACATTTATATACTTGTATTTCTTTTTGCGGATGTTCTGTTTGCAAACTGGCTAGTGGCTAGCGAGATCCGAAAAAAAAAACTTGTGCCCACGATTTTGGTTGATTTTGTTTACTCATTCCAAATGTGGATGATGAGATACGGGCAATCGAACTCAACATGTTTGAGTTGTCATATGTTTTATTGATCGAAGCTACATCAATTTGTTATTGGTTACCCTCTGGTAATTTAACATAGCTATTGAAAATGGCCATTTATAGTGGATTTTCCCATTAAAAATGGTGATTTTCCATAGTTATGTTAGTTTACCAGAGGGTAACACAAAAAAACAGGGGGCTCAAGGCCTTATCCACCCCAAGCGCTATCACGCTGGTTAAGGTCCTCAAGATGACGAGAAAACCCCTGATGGGTCCCATGTGAAATTGACTCCTGATGGGTGAAGCAGGTGCCACCATCTTTAATACAAAAGACAACAAACACCATGGACAACTCCATCTCTTCATCTCTTCAATCAACTTTACGAATCATGTCCAGTCATCATCATCATCATCATCATCATCACCACCCTTATATTTGGACTTGATGTGGAACCCCCAAAACAAATTAAGCAGGAACTAGAAATTTGCTATGGAAGTCATGGCCCATTTAGTTCAATCTTTTGTACCCGTCAAAAATTGTGATTTTCCATAGCTAGATTGAATTACCAAAGATTATTATCATTGCATGTCATTGTTTGATCATCATGACATAAAATACAATTCGTATCAGGTAACATTATAACTTTTTAACATTATATACCAAGTACGTATGTTTCAGATATATATATATATATAATCCTAGACTAATTATATAATATAATCATTGTTGTTTTCGAAATCTCATATACATCCCATTTAATCACCATTTTTCAGATAAATGAGAGTTGCTACTTTGTTTCTCATTGATAACCCCAGACTGCACTGAGTATGGCACCGTCAAGACTAAGCACACCACCCGCACCTGAACCAGCCAGTTGATTGGTTATCATACAACGGATGAAAGAAATCCTGCACCAACTGGTCGATGGTTTATCATGGTTTAGTTTATCCTATTATTTTGTTTGGGTTTCAACCATCCACACTAGGGGGTTATACCAAGTTTCATTTCTTGGGATAACGATGTACGTAACCAGTATCATGGGATGGGATAGATGTGCATGTATGTATTTTTGTTTCATGGCTCACGTGCGCGCGTGTGTGTGTGTGTGTGTTTGTTTTTCAGATGTTCATAAAACATGGAGAAAGTGATGATAACCCACCGGATTTTTGTGTTTTTCTACTGGACGTACTCTGTTGGGAAATACCCAACGAACAGCGGACCCAGTGGTTTGCTGAAGCAGGCGGTCTGGGTCGCCTCGAGAAAATAGCTGTGCCATGGTGATATGCCAAGAGTATCCAAGATAAGTCAGACATAGGCGGGCAAATTGATGCAAATAGAAGAAATGTAGATTATCCCGGGCTCTGTTGATGCTCCAAGAATGGTTTTTTTTTCAGTGGACATATGCAATATGTTCTCAGCATGTCCTAGCACTATTCAACTACAGTAATATCATTCTACGGCCTCACCCCTCACAACACTTGCTAGCATCCCCAAGGCGGCACCTGAAACGCAAGGTCACTGCGCGAAAAGTTCGCATAGTATCCTGCGCAGCATTTGGCCCTTTGGGTCATGGGATTCCTGTATTCCCTTTCCCCCTAGGCAACGACAAGGTTTGACAATGGGATTTTTTCACCCAACGAATCGCTTGAGTTCAAGCAGTTTCGTTCCGGGCAAATGAGCACCCCAGAGAGGTCAAATGGTGCCATACATAAAGCTGATAAAGCTGATCTCAGGAGTAAGGGACCAGAAAATGACATCCATGTCTCCTCAGGTCTGGTATTTCTGAACATGATGGATCCTCTCTTCCTTCTCCCTTGCTGCATGGTACCTATAAACAGCAAAATAGGATCAGAATGGATTGCTCCCGGCCCTTCACATACAGCAGTTAGAAAAAACACGGGCTGGAGTTGCAAAACTGGTAAACGTTTCCATAACTATAAGGAAAGACACCAAGTCTAATAGGTAAATCAACTAATAAAATACCCTCTGGTAAACTAACATAACTATGGAAAATCACCATGTTTAATGGGAAATTCATGGAAAATCCACTGGGCCATGTTCAATGGAAAACTGTAAACGTTTACCAATGGGTAAATCCTGGCCAAACGTCTCCTGCATGGACAAGGTGTCCAAACACTGCAATGATAGCCTTCCCGAGGGCTAACGCTCCAACCTGAGAAGAGAACTCAACGGAAAATCAACATCCGTAAGGAACGTGCAAACACAACATATAGCAAGATCCAAACAAGATAGAAACACATGAATTCAGGAAAAAAACAGTGATACAGTCTCTTCTATTTGGTCTATGTTCTTCATCTTGTCTATATTTTGGGGCAATATACAGTATACTGATGTATACTGTATACTTAATAAGCCAGAATACAAGCCGGAGCAAACTTTACAAGATGCTTCGGGATGGACATTAACTTTAGCTTGAGTTTATCAGCATATGGATCATCAACCGTTCAACCATTTCTGTGGGGTACAGTTGGGCGTTTGGGAGATCTCGTTGTATTGATCTAGTTCTTGTCCATGCTAGATCTAACTCGATCCTTGGATGTTTTGATTTTCTATGGGAACGACATAGACTCTAGATCTTGGATCATTCAGATCTATACAGAAAATTCAGATCCTTGGATGTTTTGATTTTCTCAAAAAAAAACAACTAAACTGATCTGAATTTTGAGAATGAGACTTGGCACACAACCCCCAATCATGCACCGAAATAATTGTGTCCGACATAGCACGTGTAATGTAAAGTCTTGAAGGATACAGTACATGTAGCAAAGGGCAAAAACCTCAAGCATGGCCAACCTCAAATAGCTCCGAGAAGCAGGTCAAACCGAGAATACCCTCTAGTAAACTAACGTAACTATGGAAAATCATATTTTTTTTATGGGTAAAACCACTATTTCTATGGACCATGTTCAATAGCTTTTTGTATGTTTACCAGGCCGGGTATGTCTTTGTGACACATCTGGGGGACGGGATGAACATGGATGAACACACCCCCATCTTTGGTATGTTTGTATCCCAGTGTAAATCCCCATCAGATAAAAACACAAATACCCTTTGCTAGTGCAACATAGCTATGAAGAAATCACAATTCTTCACAGGATTTCACAGGTAAATCAACCAAATGGGCCATTTTTAGCTGATCTTTGAGGCGAAATCTGAATAATCTGCACATGTTTTTTTCAGACATTCCTCCCTTTTCCATAGCAAACTGCAAGCTTACCAGAGGCTAAATCCTAAACCTATATTGTATCCCGTCCTATACCCCCATATCCCCATGATATTCCCATGGTTCTTGCTTAAATCAAACCCAAATCCCATTATATATATATATATATATATGTATTCCATTAAATCCCCTTAAATCCCATTAAATCCCAATAAATCCCAATAAATCCCAATAAATCCCAATAAATCCCATTAAATCCCAATAAATCCCATTAAATCCCAATAAATCCCAATAAATTCCAAATAAAATCCCAATAAATCCCAATAAATCCCATTGTGTAAGCGAGTCATTTCACCATGGACATCTCACGTCCGGCGCGGCGCGCATCGCCAAGAAGCCAAGTTCAACACCATCGCAGCCCACATGATCCAGGCCATGCTGCGACCCGCCACCAGCGTCTGCCGATCGGCTGCTAGGATGCAAAGATCCGGAAATCAGATGGTGAGAAGTTATGATAAGTTTACCCGGCCTGGGAAACATACAAATTATTGAAAATGGCCCAGTCGAAATAGTGGATTTTCCCATGGATTGTCCCATTAAACATGGTGACTTTCCATAGTTATGTTAGTTTACCAGAGGGTATCTTATGAGGTTATGATGTTGACATGAAGGGAAGTAACCCGTCTAGGTAGTTCTAGAGGGGTTATTGGGTTGTTGAGGCGGGGTTGACATTAAATAGGAATTTACGTATCATTTCACTCAAACAGGAATTTAAGTATCATTTCACTTAAGTATCTAGGAATTTGATAGAAATTAAATAGGGATAAAAACGATGTTCGATTCGTTCGATTGTTGGATTGTCCATCTGTGCTCAAAACATCCAGGGAAACGTGGAGTAGACCCTGAAAAAATCGAGGCTGTGGGCCACCCCGATGATGTTTGTTGGTTTCTAAACCCTACTAACTATATAGAGTTTCTGTATTTGATGTGCAAAATCTGAGGATTGTTTTTTTTTTCCGAACCCAACTGAAGTTGGTCAATGCTGAGCAACTTATCATCAGTTTTCATCACATATGCATTGATATCCAGTGGTTGTCTGCGTTAGATTGTCATGGTTGCTTGATATGGTGAAAGGATAACACAAACGGATCATCATCACATACTTCAGCAGCTTAGTCTATGAGGAAAACAACATGAACGGATGTGTTTTTCTCCATCAAAACAGCACAATTTGTGGGTTCCTGTAGATTTTTGCTCTAACCAACCCTGAGAAAATGGTGATATCGACAATCAAAGGCTTGGTGTAAGGGAAAATTGCTAGGAAATCCAAGAGTGGAGGCTTTAAAAACTACAAACATACCATACGTCACTGGATTGGTTTAAGGAAATTTCTAATGGAAACCACCCTTTTTGTTTCCCAAATAGAAGGGTTCATGCCCACAGAAATTTCGACGTTCGCGCCTTGGGTGCAGGTAAAGCGCCCAGCAAAGGACCTATGGGCTGGATATGGGGTCCATTGCCAGCAATGTTAGATTTTTTCTACCTGAGTTTGAATTATATATGATTATTACTACTATATATAATAATAATACTATTATATACTATGTTATCTAATATATTATATCATTCTATATATCTAGTATATTTCCATTTGTATATGCTAGATGCTGGCAGAGAATACCAGATCTTTACATTGGATCTATCTGGATTCGCTTTGCGGTGCCGTGGTCATCTTCCAATTGGCTCGAGAAAATCCCCAGTTTAGAAAGTCTAACGTTGTTGTTGTGAGATGGCGTAAATCCCATAGTACCCTCTGGTAATGACTAACGGTTTGCTATTGAAAATGGTGATTTATAGTGGATTTACCCATTGAAAATGGTGGATCTTTCCATGGTTACGTTAGTTTACCAGAGGGTAAATCCCATGGTAAATCCATGAAATCAGAAAACCACTAGCAAAATATAGCAAAATCGAAGTGTATACAGTCCATCCAGTCATTTGTTATGCCAAAATGCTCAATGAGTCAATGGAGTGAAGGATCTCGCCAGCAAAAAAGAATTGCCCAATTCCATGATTTGATTCATGCACACATGGCATGCTTTAGAAAAGGGGGCACCAAAGGGATAAACTGTAAACACATTCGAGGGTACCCACTACTGAAGCAAGCAATATCCAAAGGTATAGTAAGATACTGCCATCTCTTTCCTGAAGAACAAAACATGGGTCTGCCATAAATCCACCTAGGACGTATCATTTCAAAAATGGGTCGAAGATGGTCATTCAGTACTAAAGTTAAGAGCAAAAGGCAGTTTATATTTTTGAAATGGATACCAACTGGTAATTTAACATATCTCTGGAAGCCATGGCCATTGAAATCTGGTTGGTGGTATACCTACCCCTCTGAAAAATGATGGACTTCGTCAGTTGGGGTGCTGAAATTCCCAAATATGATGGGAAAGTCATAAAATTCCATGGTTCCAGTCACCACCAACCAGGTTGATTTAAGCCATGGCCACCCGAACAAAATCACCCTGTCATGTAGGTAAATATACCAGCACCATGGTTCGCATATGGGATATGTCAATACTTAGAATCAGAATTAGATAGATCTAGTGAAAATCCCATTGAAGCCATGGCCATTGAAATCGTTGATTTAAGCCATGAATCGCATGATGATTTCCCATGGCGAACTTCTCCATAGGTCTCCCACCTGTGCGTCGTGACCCAGAAGTCTTGGCCGCCAACCTGTGGCTCTACCGGGGCCACCGTCGATCGATGAAAACAACAACTGAGGCCATGTGCAATGTTTTGATGGGAAAACCATAGGAAAACCATAGGAAAATGGAGGTTTACCCTCTGGTAAACTAACATAACTATGGAAAGATCCACCATTTTCAATGGGTAAATCCACTATAAATCACCATTTTAAATAGCTATGTTAAATTACCAGAGGGTATATGTTGATATCAAGTTGTTGCTTCTTGTTTTGCAAAAGAAAACGTTGATATCAACATTGATATCAACATTGCTATCAACATTTAAGCCATTTCTGGATTTTAAAATCCAGAAATCCAGGATTTTTCTGGATCTTCACTTTGAATCCTACCCTCGGGGTAAACTAACATAGCTATGGAAAATCACCATAGAAATAGTGGATTTTCCCATTCAACATGGTGGATCTTTCCAGTTCGTTATGTAAACGTTTACCAGAGGGTAAACCTCCATTTTCCTATGGTTTTCCTATGGTTTTCCCATTAAAAACCTCCCAAAAGCTCCCGAGAGCCTCGCCTCTGTCGTGCCGCCTCCGCCCGGTCAGGCCGCTCCACTTTGGGTGTGGCACCACGCGCCGGCATGGCGATGATCCGATGGCCGAGGCGAGGCGAGTTTCTCGTTCAACAGCTCCAGTTGTTGGTGGGAAAAGATGTAGGAATTTTTATAGCAACTCTTTTGGCAACTTCCATGGAATTCTGATGGTTTCATTGTTTCAGATGCATATGATTCAAAAATTGATTTTGGATTTTGGTGGAGAAGAATGGAGATTTGGGAAGAATACACATAAATATTGATGAATTAAATTGAATTAATATGAATTATGGAGAGTTGTGAAAGCTGTCCTTCAACTTGAAAATGGAATTTACAATAATTTACACATATATTCCTGAGAATTCATGGGCATTGCGTAAGCTGTCGTTCAGAAAGTGGGCTTAAAATGGAATTGATCAAGGATGGAATATACTGATTGACCAACAACTTCAGGGGCTCAGTGTTCAACTCTTTGGGGTACTAGGCGATAGGTGAATGGCCTGGCTCGATGGCCAGATTGAGGCTCCAACGCAGCGTCAGACATGTGACCGTGCTGAAGGATCTGCACTTGTCATGTGGGTTGTCTGAAACTAGGATACCCTATTCTGGTTGGTGGTTTCAACCCCTCTGATAAATGTGAAAGTTAGTTGGGATGATTATTCCCAATATATATATATATATATGGAAAAATAAAATTCATGTTCCAAACCACCAACCAGCTATTCCATTCATTGGTTGATATCATAATTGTCCGAAGGCCATCCATTGGGCACAAATATGACAAGCCTCGTGTTGTTATGCTCATGTCGCTTTTTTAGAGCCAATCGTGACTTCAGCAACATGGGTGTTGCTTGGGGTGCTGTTTTGGGTGCTTACAAACAGAAACGGGACACATATTGTTGATTTTTTTTTTTTTTAAGACTTAAAAGCCACTGGATCTAGATCTATTGGTCAGTTTGTGACATCATCCCATCCTATAGAAAAACATGGCTGTAACATCAAGGACATGATGTGAGATCACATAAACAATATAACAAAGCACCAAGCATAGGCAAAAGCAACCGTTTTGCTACTCATCATGGTTGTTGCTAAGGCAATGTGTTTTTCTCTTTTGCGTGGATTCAGATTTGTTGGTGCGCCATGGTAAAACCGCTAAAAATTACCCTGCTTGTTATGTTACTTTATCTTCCAAACGAGGTCTTTTGTTTCTTCCAACATGTCAACAATGCTGACATGGGCATGGCTGAACATATTTCCCTAAGCCAAAACACTATTTTTTTATACAGACACTCCCTGTAGGTGTGAGTTTGGGGCCGCTTAAAATGGTCCATTCTTTGATCGGATCACCATCCCCGAGAGTACCGGGTACCAACTCGGCCTGGATTCGCCAATCAAAGGGCACGCTGAGCAGGGACGAATTCTTCAAGGTGAAGCGATACACCTGACGTACGCGGAAGACGGTCATCGAGTCACGTGCTGTCTTGAAGATATGGATACTTGATATGGAAGATATAAAAAAATATCAACATAGTCATATATAATGGTGTATATATATATGATTATATATGGACTATGATAGTGATAATAAAGGAGGTATATGAAAAGTGGTGATGATATAGGGGTAAGTCGTGATAGTGGTGATACCTCCATCTGCATATGGAGGTGTCCTAAGTCATGCTACCTATGGGAATCTATGGGTTTCGATACGGAATTTGGATGGAATTTGGCAACTATAGTTTTAACTATAGAACTATTAATTATATCTATAACTATAAATTATATAGTTTATAGTACCAATATCTATATATCAAGAATTTAAGTGGGTCTTTCTTTGCTTTGAAAAAAAAACATCAACACGTGATTCACGAGTCTCGGGAGGTGGCCGTAGTCATTTGAATTTGGGTTTTCCATGGGTTTTCCATGGGTCATTAAATGTCCCCATTGAACATCACCCAACCATTAGGTATATGGTCTATAATGGCTACTATAAGGTGATGTCCAATACTCCCAAAATGGGACAGTTACCAACCCCTGTTTTCTGATGTTTTTTCTGAAAGAAATGGTGGTAGTAGGCTTTCCGTATTGCCACATAGCGTTTAAATGTCCATTCACAGCTCGCAACAACTTCCAGCAACTTCCAGTTACCACAATCAGATAGTCAGGTGTTCACAAACAAAACCGCTGACGTCGCCCTTCTAGATCGGTGTATATATATATATACCCTCTAGTTATTTAACATAGCCATGGAAAATCACAATTTTTAATAGGTAAACCATCTATAAATGGTCCATTTTCCATGGCTATATATATTATATAAATATAATTGACAAAATTGCGAACTTGAAAATGGCCCATATATAATTGATTTACTCATAAAAAATGGTGATTTTCCATGATTGGTTATCTGGCTGGTGGTTGACCTACCCTCTGAAAAATGATGGACTTCGTCAGTTAGGATGATGAAATTCCCAACTGTATGGAAAAGTCACAAAAAATCATGTTCCGAACCACCAATCAGATATACTGGGATGATACGTGAAACGTGACCATGATGGTGAATAGTCAATGTATCATTGACATATATTTTCATAGGTTCCAGTCATAATAAAGCATTTTTTCATAGGTTTTCATAGGTAACAGCTCCATGGCTTCAATATATCATCCATTAAAGAAAAGCATGGCTACCCCTCTGGCAATCGCTCAGCTCCGCTGGAAAGTCCCCCGGCAAGAGTTCGATGATCGGGCCCCGAAAAATAAAACACCATTTATCAATGGATTGGTTTAAGGGAAAATCTACAGGAAACCATGGTTTTTACTATCAAATATAGGGTTTTCCTGTAAATTTTCCCATCATCCAATTCTATGAATTTATCTATATAGTGAATATGACTATGAAACACCATTGATCTATGATTTTCCCATGATAAACAGCGTTTATCTATACGGTAGTGTCCCATTCATATTTCAATTGTTATGTTTGATTATCAAAGGGATTCAAAGGGTATGTCCTGACTCCAGCTGGATAGCTACGATTTCCGGCTAAACTTTCACCATCAATCTAACACACAACTAGATCAATTGTAATAGATAATTACCCTCTGGTAATTTAACATGGCCATAGAAGCTATGGCCCATAGAAGCTATGGCCCATAGAAGTAGTTGATTTACCTGTTAAATATGATGATTTCCCATAGCTATGTTAGTTTACTGGAGGGTAAGTTTATAAAGATAATTTTGGCCATTGTACAATCTAACATTTGCATGATTACAATCCCAGAAGAGTGAACGTGTCCCTTAGAAGGGAACAAAAAAACCGGTTGCCACTTCACCGCCACATTCACTAACTTCAATTGGATTACTTTATATATGCAACATGAAAAACATGGAATCCAGCCCCACCTTCGGGGCATGAAATGTTCCAAGCCATGTTCATGGATGACCGTCCTCCAATCAATGGCTTATGTACAGAGCAACTTTTAAACATTGCACCTATCAGTAGTCCTCCCAACTAATATTAAAGACCCCCCCAAAAAAATGTTGCTTTAGTATTGGATCTATTCATGAATTGGGCCCCATGTTTGAGTGAATTTAATATGATCCGAGCATGGGATTATCTCCATTCTATCAATCATATCCCCATTAACAAAAATCACATTCCCATTTTCCCATGATAAATCCCACTATAATAGATCCCAATAATTCTCCCAAAAAGTTGACTTACCCTCTGGTAAACTAACATAACTATGGAAAATCACCATTTTCAATGGGTAAATCCACTATAAATGGCCATTTTCAATAGCTACGTTAAATTACCAGAGGGTAATTCTCGCCACGCAAGCCGCAAGCCCCATCCAAACACCCAGGGCATTTCCCGTCCAACCTTTGAACAGAACATGGCGGTGGGCAGGAAGTTGATCTCCTCGATGTCAGCTTCCAGCTTCGCGTGGTCCGCCAACACGGAGATCTGCGGAGGTTTTTTGGGCATGGGAAAAGGTGGCCCCCCGCAACGCTGATGTGAGAATGGTCTTTGTGGCCAAAAAAAACAGCAATATTATATATATATATATGTATCTATCTATATAATCTATATATATATATATTTACTATATATATATATATTTACACATCAAACATCAATGAATCAAACTTCTTATGTGATTATACCATATATACAGCTATAAGTTAAATATTGATTATGATTTATCCATAAAGCTGTTTGATGTTGGCAACCTCCAAGCATCACTTGTTGGCTCAGACAACCTTTGTACAAAGAAACACCAGTCAAGCTAAGGGAAACACCATCCAGGTCCACCTTCAACGGAATCCTCCATTGGAATTTTGACAACGTTTCACAACCACCAACGATTTCACAGAGATTCTCCGATCAGTTGGGCCAAAACAGATTTGGTCAAATTATCACAATTGAGTTTGCCTGAAAATAGTTCCGAAAAAACCGCCCCCAGTAGGCCATTTGAATGAGAAAACAATGAAAAATCATTAGGTACCATCCGGTACTCAAACATGGTTTGCTGGAGAATCTCCGCCTTAGTTCGTTGATTTTCCCAGCGACAGACACCTCCATGGCTAGTTCGGGAAATTCCAGCCAGCCATGTTTGATTACCACGGTGTATTCGGATTCTCTCCACTATATCATATCGATTTAATGTTCATTTAAATCACCATATTCCCATGGTATCCCCATTAAACCCTTAAAAACAAACATATTTGGGGTAGCCGCTATTAGTCTACTACCCATATGCTCCAGGGTGGAATATGTATCTGCCATGTCGAGCCTGCAGAGGTAGCTCCTGCTTGGTCCCTACCACCTGGCGACGCAACAAAACCAACGGGGGCGCTACGTTCGGTCATCCGACGCCAGGATTTTTTCTTCGATTGAAATGGGATATGTAGGATGTTAGAGTTGTACATTGCATAGATAAATCACAATTTTGAGAGGTAGATTACTATAAATAGCGATCATAGTGGTTTCATATGATGATGAATAGACTGTAAACCACAAGCAGTCCGATCCTCAAATATTGTATAGGTACACAATAAGATGCTTGGATTTGGACGTAGCG